TTGGGACTACACAACGTCCAACGTTCACTATTTTTTACTTTTAAAGATTCCATATCTACGTGGCTAAGCCTAAGATTTTGATATCTTTGTTTACAAGCCTCTCTATTTGATCAAATTTAGAATCTGTAAAGTTCATATGAGAGATGCTGACGTCTGAGGTACTTACAAGACAATGTTAGCACTCCGATGAGCAAATTAGTACTGATCAATCTGATATATTGCACAAAGTTAGAATAGTTTCGCGTACCTTACATTGGAGGATGACATCTCAATTTATAGAGATGAACTCCAATAGGGCTTCCGACAACAGTCCAATGCTCTTTGACATTTCAGAAAACGCGACGTGTTGTCGGAAAACATTATTGTTATCTTCTCACCCGCATGCATTCTTCAAAGGTTGGTTCATAACTGGAATAGGTCGGTTGGTAGGAAAATAAGGTCGACTCGACCATCCAATGTTGAGCTAGCAAGACTTGTGCCAGTCTGTAGGTTGATATTGAATTATTTCACTAAGTAAAGTCTCCCTAGATGTTGACACGTGGTAGGAAATAAATGGCCTCCAACACTCTCCATACATTTCCAACAGTATAACATTATTCACTCTGAACTTAAGTCTACATGGTTTAATTTTGAGTTCTATTTAGAAGGTCTGTAACAAAAAAAAAAGATTCTATCTACATGGCTAAGTTTAGAGCATAACTTTTATATCAATTGTTGGGACCTAGCGATGATTTTGATGAATTTTTTCATTTTCTCTAAAATTCAATTTATACCTGAGATTTATTTGAATATTCATTAATATTGACCTATTCATTCATGTATTTATGGACTTGTAATCAATAAGAACCGAAAAAAAGTTTTGATATGATGTTGAGATTGAGAACGGGGGAATATTGGGAATATTGTTTTTTAAGTAGTTAAAAATACATTTTAATTTAACATGATGTAGGTCCTTTTTTTTTTAATTTATCAATATACTTAAAAATACTTTTTTCTTTTAAAGAAAGCACTAAATAATTTTTGTCTGAATGCGATTATAGAAGAAATACTTAAAAGCAAATATTCTATAAAATCTTATTTTACCATTAATTTTTATCCAACATAATACCCACCTTAATCAACTTATGTAGTCCTAATATAGGTCTATTATCAACTCATTAAGATGATGGACTAACGATTGACGTATTATTACATAATATCATAAACTTAGCTTTCAAATCCTTGAAAGTAAATGATTTAAAACTTCAACAAAATACAATACAATGTGGGTATAAGTGGAAATCATAATAACTGGGGAGGAAACTACAATGCAGGGATTCGAACATAGGACCTCCCGCTYTGATACCATCTTAAGAATGAACAAATCACCACTCAACCCAAAAACTTAAGTTAATGGATTGGATAAATTTAATTCATTTATATGGATTCTAACAAGTAATATAAAAAAAAAACACAACCGAACAAATGCCAAAGTTAAAAAGTACCAAACTTGAGTTTACTCAGAAAGTGCTTAAAAAAATTGGAAAAAGTATAAGAAGGAGGGGTTTGTCCAATGGAAAGATAANAAGAAAAAGAAATGTTTGTGGTGAGTTGTCATTGTCATTTTAATAGAAAAAAAAAATGGAGGTCACATCAAATCAAGTAAAAGAGTGGTTTAGTGGGTTTTCCATGATCTCCTTCAATATGTTACTAATTTTTTTTTAATGTTTGTATTATTCTTTAAGATTAGAAAATCAGCCGAGCGGGAAAGAGCATCATTTGCAATACGTAGATTACATTTGCAAAAGTATAAAAAACGTAAGTACGTAGATTTCATGTGGGTCACTCCAAATAGGGTATTCAGCCCAAAAACCTAAAAATTACTTCTAAGCTTTAGAAAATAATTATCTTTCGGACGAGAAGCGAGCATCTACAGCAACGCAAGCTATATTTTTATTCCGTAAAGATTTAGTCTATGTAGTTTATTAATATATTTGGTCAGTCTTCAATTTATTGATTTACATGTATAAAAAGCTTTATTAAATAGTCCTAACAATATTTTGATGATATAGGACTAAAGTCTACAAAAATAAATTGTTATATATTAAAATTCGATAACTCGATTGTTATACATTCGAAAATATAGGGTTTAAATCGTTACAAATTAAAATTTAAGGATTAAATTGTTAAATGTCTACTTTTTACGATTATATGGAAAATGATCTTTATGTTAGTTCATTATAGCAACAATTCGTTGGGGTTAATATTTTGGAACTTACAATCATCCATCATATATCTTCGTAAACATAGTTTAGTGGATAAAAACATTACCCACTCCCTTAAACATTAGAGATGATTGAATCGTCATATTCTCTTTTAACTTACAATCTTTTATGATAAATATCTTCATAAGTTTTTATATGACAATGAGCGTGTCTCCATATATATTTTTTAAAATTCACCGATAGTTTAGGAGATACGTTGTGTGGTGGTCAAAGTAGAGAGGCTCCGAGTTAGAGTATACACGTGAGCAGAGAGAAAGACCAATAGAATAAAATAGTGATAAATTTAAGCTTTTCAACTTTTTTTTTACTCAAGTGACGTTAGAACAATAATTTTCTCTAAACGTCTGAAACTTGACTTTGAAATTAGTCTTACCCAAATGTCTTATACCAATTAAAACGCTATATTATATTTGTATACCTAAAATCTTCTTCACTTTTAATCGGAATCGGTTTAGTCGATTTTTCATATTATTTTCCTCAACCTCTACACATTCCTAAGTACGTTCGTAGTTCTTATTATTTATAACGACACAATGATTGGAGGTGGTCTGTTGGGGTAAATAAAAAGGCAACAGATTCAGAAAATTGAAAGTAAAAAAAATAATAATAAATAAATAAATCCACAGAACACAACACAAAACATAGAGAAAGCAAAGGTTTGGGTTTTATGTAATCTGAGTCTTACTCTTCACAACTCCTTTTTTTTTTATTATCATTTTTTTTCATTGGGTTTTGGAGCTCACGTCAAAATAAAATACAAAACCGACCTTCTTTTTTATTTCTTTTATTTTAATTACCATTAATACTTCTGTTAGCCAATATATATATATATATATATATATATATATATATATTTTATTTCCCAACTTCAAGAGAATATCTCGATTTTTTAAAACTAATATATAGTTTATTGTATGTACTTGGGAAATGTGGCGCATATATATGACATATAATATATATGTAATGATATTCAGAAAGTAGAAAAAATTGATTCAAATTAATGTCCATCAACCTAGCTAAACATAGTGTTATATATATATAATAAGACATATATTTTAGATTTTAGATTTTATTGTTTTGTGTAATTTTAGAGTTTGAAATATTTTGATTGGTTTCATTTTGACTTCTTTTAGTTATTTTTTTATTGGCTTAATTAAATAACTTGAAACTCAGTTTTTGGAAAATAATAATAATAATAATAACAACTAAAATGAGATTTAAACTTAAACATAATGAACATAAAAATGTATAGATTATAATAAAACTAGATTAAATTATCATTCCTAGTTGAACTTGATTTCAAATAGATGGGTGTAATTTTCAGTATCATTATAAATAATTTTGAATATAAGTTGGTTAATTCACTTGAAATTTCTTTATCATATTATCATATATTAGCAATGTTTTAATGTGATGTGTGTTTTCTTTGGACGTACGAAAGAGATGAACTAATATTCTAAGTTGATTGTATTAAAGTTTTAATTGGGTATAAAATAGAGAAAATAAAAAAATTTGGATAAACCAATTATAAATTAAAGGTGGTCTAGCTATATATACACACATTCAAAAATTTTAATCTATAAAACATATGCCTATTTCACACCAACATATTTTTTCATACTTACCTTAAAACATAACCCACCGACGAAGAATTCGAAGATTCCATATCTGGAAAGCGCCTACATCTAATGGCTTACACCGTTGTTCTCGTTTCGACTTAATAGTAATGAACCAATTGAACTTTCACATAACTTATAACAAGTACCAACATATCATATAATATCATATATTTCTCTCTGTCGAATCTAAAGAAAATGTGTTACATAAGAAACTTGAGTACGAGATCAGAGCCAACCAAATTATATTAAAGCATAACAAAACTTCGAAATTCAAACTAAATAGAAGCCATCTCTAAACCATAAAAAATAATAAAAATTTAAATTCTTGGGGACAAAAATGTCAAGAACAAAGATATAAGAAAGAGTAAATCCAACCAAAAGTGTTAAGAAAAATGTGAATGGTAGAAACTAGAAAGTTCATAAGAGTAAAAGCTAAAAACTTAGGTTATGATAGAATAGACCTATGGTTTCAAATCATCTTTCCCCATCTCAATTAGCATTAATGAGAAGGAGAGTATTTAATATTTATAGCATGTTGTTCTCTCCACCTCCACTCCCTCTCACTCGAAACGTCGATCTYGATAGAAATATCGAGATCTCAATTTTATAGAATATAAAAATAAAAAAATTCATAACAAATAAGCATTTCATCCTTTATCCATCCTTATGGATTTTTTTTTTGTACTATGAAATTATCGATTTATTCTTCAGGAACGATATGAAAATATCGACAGAAATTTAATATCGAAGAAATGGTAACTTAATTTTGTTAAAAAAATGCATTAACAAATGGAGTTCCCAAAGCAAAAGAGAGAGACAGAAAAGACTGCAGGTTCTCTCCTCTCTCTGGTTATCTACTTCTTCTACTTGTTTGTTTGAGTATATCACTTAAAAGAACAGAAAAAAAAAACAAACAAACAAACAAATTTTTTCCTCAAATCTCTCTCTCTATGTTTTTTCTCTCTCAACTGTCTTGTCTGACTGTCTTTTTCTCAAGTGCCCTCCAAAACAAACTTTGTCAGACACAACAGAACCTAACCCTCTCTGTTTTCTCTCTCTGTCTCTGTTTCTTCTCTCTCTCTTCTCTTTAAGAATAGAGCCAAAAAACACACAATAAGGCCACTGCTAAAGCTTTTTACACACTTTCTCTGAAAATACCCATTGAAGTTTTGAACCCACCAACATATTAAAAACCCAACACAGCCCTTACACTCTGCAATTAACTCCTCTCTCTGTTCTCTCTCTGTTTTCACTTTTTTTTTTGTTCTTTTTTTTCTCTTTTTTGCCCTCTGTCTCTCAATGGACTTTCATCTGAAGCAATGTAGAAACCTGGGGGAGTCAGAACAACAACATTCTGGAAAGATATCCAAGTTTCTTGCTGAACCCTCTGCTTCTGCTTCTGCCCTTTCTTTGTTTGTACCTGATTCCGACTCCAAAACTTCCTCTTCTACGATCTTGTCAGCATTCCCAGATTATTCAACTTCTTCCACCACTGCTACTGCTGCTGCATTACCAAACAGTAAGCTTAAAAGAAAAAAGAAAAAAAAGAAAAGAACTTTTTTTTTTTTTTGGTGTCACATGGTTTATTTTGTTGCTCATAAAGCTTGCTTCTTGGAATATTGGGCAGAGTTTCTGCATTTGGGTTTGGGAAATTTTGCTCAAATTTGGGTTTGGGTTTGRTTTGATATTTGAGTATTGGATATTGATTGATCTCTTTTGTTGGTTTGTTTTAGGGATGTGGGGGTATTTCAGTGTGGCTCAAAGGCAGGAGCTTGAGCTGCAGGCTCTCATTTTCCGGTACATGGTGGCCGGCGCCGCCGTCCCGCCGGAGCTCCTCCACTCGATCAAGAAGAGCCTCCTCTCCTCCACCCCCTTCTTCCTCTACCACCCTCTTCAACATTTTTCTCACTATCCCACTTCTTGTAAGAGCCTTTTTCTTCCTTTTATGCATCCAATTTCAACTTCTTTTAACTCTCATTTATAATAAACACAGCATTTTGATCTTGTAGATTGAGGTTGTTTTTACTTTTTGCTGTCACTAACACAGGGGAAGCCTAAACTTTACCCACAAGGCAAAAAATTCAATAAATTATTACAGAAGTTTTTAGTTTTTAATTTTTTGTTGTCGTTAATGGGGTTTTGTTTAAAATAATTATGGGATATTTCAGTATTGCAAGCAGGGTACTGGGGCAGAGCCGCCATGGATCCGGAGCCCGGCCGGTGCCGGCGAACCGACGGCAAAAAATGGCGTTGCTCCAGAGACGTGGTCGCCGGRCAGAAGTACTGCGAGCGCCATATGCACCGCGGCCGTAACCGTTCAAGAAAGCCTGTGGAACCCACCACCGCCGCTACCGGAGCCGGAGCCGGTGGCGGCCATCTCGGTTCCAACACCAACCGTGTTAGTGGTCGGGCTTTGCTGACTGCGGAAAGTGGGAATGGGAATTATTTCTCCCTCTCTGGACAATCCCCATCCGTTGATCTTCTCCATCTCAATCAACGGTCAGATTTCGTTTGGGCCCCACTGAAAAATTTTGTCCTCTCACGCTTTAGATTCTTAAATTGTACAGACTATTTTCCCCAACCATTAACTTTCTGCCTAATAATGCTTCTTTTCAATTCAATGTCCCCTTTCTTTTTTCTCAATCACTTTTATTTATTCGATTTTTTTTTAAAATTTTTGCTTTTTTCGTTAATTGCAGTGGCTGCTCTGATTCTCTGCCGGAGAATAAGAATTTCTATGAATCCCATAAGGGAGGCTCCGCCGGCGACGGCGACGGCAAATCCGATGGCCACATTTTGAGGCATTTCTTCGATGATTGGCCGCGGTCCGACCACGGCAGAGTTAGCAACAACAGCCAACAACAAATGAATTCCGCGTCCGCTTCGACCACTTCCCTTTCGATTTCGATAAGTGGGAACCCGTCGATGTCGTCCGACGTGTCGTTGAAATTGTCCACCGGGGGAAGCTCCGATCAAGTCCCCGGTGGCAGCAGCGATGGCTACCGTATTGTTCATCAAGAGGGCAACGCTGATCGAGAGCAGGTGCAGTTGAACTGGGCGGCAGGGTGGGCTGCCACGCAGATGGCGTCGATGGGCGGACCGCTGGCGGAGGCGCTCCGCTCCTCCGCTAATTACGACTCGTCGTCGCCGACAAGTGTGCTGCATCAGTTGCAAAGAGCAACCACCTCGGAAGCTAGCTTTATTAGCACTTGAAATGTTGCAACTTCTAATTTGCATTTACATGACCTATAATACTTTGTTTGTTTCATCAATGCTTCTAATTTGGTTGCTTTGGATAGTTAATTTATGTTGCTATCTGTAAAAAAGAAAAAAGAAAAAAGAAAAATTCAAAGTTTCAAACATGTCTTAGCTTCTATATAATTTCAGACATGTCCACTTTCACTTACTACCTATTTGAATGTGGTTGGTTGGTTTGGTGAATGATGTATTTATGGTTATTTTCTTGTTATGTTTATGGTTTTACCACTAATTAAATGTATTACATGTAAAAAAAGTGAGTTTGCAAAAAAAGCTTTATTTGATATACTTCTATGTCTTATTAGAAGTGAGTTTAGTTACTAATATGTTTTGTTGTACTATATTTAAAAGTAAGTCTACAAATATTGAGTTACAATAGAATGATCTTAAAGTGATCCTCGATCAATCACTGAAAGTGATTATTCAAAAAATAATTATAAATCAATTTGTATATATATAARACTTAGTTTTCCAAAAACATGCTTGGGAAGTTAATCCACACACAGCCCCAGTCTCAATCCTACCCGTTAATTTAGTTTTCGTTTTCGTTTGTAACATTGTTTTATTAACTACTTTTGGTGACTTAGTAGTAATTGACATATATTTTCAAACAAGAGGTTGTGAATTCAATTCTCCACCTCACATGCTAAACTAAAAAAAAAGTTAACTACTTAGGTACTTTATTTCTACTTTCTGAGAACYAGTCTTTCTTTTTATTTATTTATTAAATGTGGCTAGAACTTTAGAGGTGTTATTAACAAGTGGGTGATAAAAACACTAAATTTTTTAAAAGCACATTTCATTCTAAAAGTAGAAAAAGTGAAATAAGATCACTTACAAACAAACCCATTAATTTACCGTAGCTTAATTATATTTTTTTAATTTTTATTTTTTAGAAAATAATAGCGTAGCTTAATTCGTGGGCCAATTGTGTGTGTGTGTGTGTGTTTTTTTTTGTTTAAATATAACATCACAAACATGGGGTTAGCATCCAAGTGATTTAAACTAAACAAAATGTAGTAAAAAAAATTTAGTGGACCTCTTGATTTGATTTGTTGACAATTAATAAAATTTTAAGGATAAAGTAGGGTGGTAAAACTGGAAATTATGTAAACAAACAACCCTGCAAATAAACTGCAATGGGGACATTATTTTAAGGATAAAAAGCAATGTTGAAAGCTTATAAATTAAAGAGAACACAAAAACTCTTTTGATGCTTTGTATTTTGTAATACCTTGATATCTACCTTCAAAACAAAAGTAAAAATTTAATTGATCACAGTAAAAAAAATGTAAAAGATTAAAAGAAGTTTAAAGTTGAGATCTATTTAGTTCCTAAAATTTTAAAAAGATACTTTTGATCCCTGAAATTTGAAAAAATGTTCTAAATAATCCCTCAGCACCTTCAACCATTAGTGTTAACTAATTGTAAAAGGATTTGGAAGTAAACTTCAATGGCCAAAAGTATATTACAAGGTTGCTCTAACTTTTTAACTTTTACGATGATGTCTAATAAGTTCGTAAACCTGACTAGTAAAACGTGTCTAGTAATTCATTGAACTTTCAATGATATCTCTAATTGGTCATTAAATTTAAAAGATATTTAGTAAATTCCAACTTTCAATTTTGCCTAATAGATCTTTGTACTAAAAGATATTTCTTAAAATTCAGACCTACAACTAAATTTTGTATCTTAGAGCTAATTGAACTTTCAATTTTATCTAATAAGTTCTTCAATTTAAAAAAAGAAAGAAAAAGAAATTATAATGGGACAATTTAGATATAAAATTGAAAATTTTAAGAACCTAGGTAACACTTATTAAAATTTAAAATCCTAATGAACACAACTTTAAAAGTTTGAAAACCTATTAGATGTCACCAAGAGTGTTCACAGGGTGGGGGCAAAAACGATGAAGCCTTCCCCGTTCCTGTTCCCGTCCCCATCCCTCCAAAATTTCCCACAAAATTTTGTAGCGATCAAGGCATAGATTCCCACCGAGAAATAATTCTCCACTTATTATTGTTATTTTTTAAAATAATTTTTCAATTAATAATTCTTTTAAAAAGAAGTTTCTAGTTAAATGGTAATTTCAATCTCTACAGATAAAGAAATAGGAAGACCTAGGATGTAGAAGATCATAACATGAGTGATTGATTTGACAGATAGCCACCTACCTAAGAATTAATTTCTTAAGTATTTTCTTGAAAATCAAATGTAGTAGAATCAGATATTGACTCGTGTAATTAGTCGAGGTACAAACAAGCTGACCCACCCTCACGATCATAAAAAAAAAAAGCATTTACATGGTTAAATCCTCCCCACCTAAAGAAAAAAAAAACTTAGTGAATTCATACATATATATATAAAATAGGAGGGGACAAAATTTCGCCCACCCCATCTCGCAAGGAGGCTAAATGGGGATCCCCATCCCATTTGGGGCGGGTCCATGAACACCCCGTCAAAATCCAACAACTAAACTTGTAATTCAACCCGACCAAAATTAGAGTAACATAAATGACTCACCTGGATTTGAATCTCTACCATTAAATAATAATGTTGATGGGTGTGCAAAATCCAAATAATAAAAAGGAAAAAATATATATATATCCAACCTCCCTCTCAGTCTCCTCTAGCCATTTTTCCAGCAGGCATCACACACCCACATGGAAGTATATCTTTACTGAAATACGAAGTGTCAGAGCAATAATTAAAATGCCCTTGCAGAACAGTCACGTGGGGTTAAATGGCATTGTATTTGTACCACTCAAACAAAAATTTCACAACTAATAAATCTCTTTACTTAACTCTAAGGAAACAGCATTTTTAATTTTATGACTTCAAGAGAAGGTGAAAGAAGTGGCGCTTACTGTGTCTTAGAATTCACATCCACAGCCACAGGCATTCTTTCATGGCGCCATCGCCATGGCCGACTCTCTACGCCCATCTCATTATAATTTAACCATGACTTGGAAACAGTTTTATTTACACGCTCTACTATACAAAGAAAAGTTTCCAGCTCCGGAATCTGAAACCACCAAATATAATTGCCATGAAATTATTAATAGGAAAGAGGCAAAACATCTATTGATCCTCTCTGGTTTTCTTGCTTTTTACCACGCAAAGGCCAAATGAAATCCATTGCATAGAATGAAAACGTTATACTATACCTCTGTTAGCTGCTGTATCCAATTTTACCTAGAAAGATTCCGGGGGAGCCATTACGTGTCATTCGAATCCAGCCATCTTCACTTCATAGTTTACTTCAGGTACATGAGTGGAACCATCTTCACCGTCAGAAACTCTAATCCAATGAGGTTGAGGTCTTGGCATTGGTCTCGGTCTCGGTTTTGGTTTCGCCCTCTACAAGCTTGGAATCATCTGATGCAAGAGCATAGACCACGGCTGTCCTAGAGGGAGCATATATTAGGAAAGAACGAGGCCGGTCATCATAGTTTCCTTCCTGCAGAAACAAATATATGAATCTAAATATTCTGCAGATCAATCTATTTGAAAAGCAGATCATAAGAGACTATCTCACGATTGAGAAGTATTCGGCCGAATGATCTAGGCGACTGAACCCTCCAAATAGCAGATCATCCGAGTCCAAGATAATCTACAACAATGAAAACAATGCCACTTTATTTATAGAATTTGAACACAGATTATGACTTATGAGAGCAGGAGAGAAGGGGAAAAGAAAGGATATTACTTCCAAAAAAGTGTACAAGCCACAGTGCCAATGTTTAATACTGTGCATACTATACCTTGTATTTTCCTGGCTTTAGGCAGCCCACTCGGTAGTCGTAATAGCTGTTACTCCAATGGAAATTGAAAACAAAAACCAGGTCCCCCCTTTCGAACACAATAACTTTATCTGCTTCATTCTTCCGGGAAACATATTGATGTTCAGAAGTCATGAACTGCAACCAAAAACCAGTTGATGTTTATAATGGAGCCAAGCATGGTTGGTTATTACAGATTTACGAGCACATGAAAGTCAGAGCAGAGAGGAAAAAAAGGAAACTTCGAAGTTATGATAAAAAGATATTATTAAGACAATTTAAGCAGACAAGAGATATATACGCCAATCAAATGAAGTTTTCCACTCTGCACAACACTCTGGTGGCAGAAGACAAACTAGATCAAATCATCAAATTTGTAGAGAAATATTTAAAAATATATATTAGGTTAGATAATATCTACAACAATTATAAAAACACAATTTAACAACTTAAGATGCCAATCTAGATGTTTCATTACAATTCCCATAGCAGAAGACACCGGATTAAAATATAAACCATCAAATATGTACAGAGACAATTTTTCGATTTATAAAATGTACAAGATTTGGAAAAAAAACACAATCTCATAAATGTAGACACCATAAGTTTTTACCGCTTTACACAAACTATAGTGGCAGAAAACAAATCATCACATTTGTACAGAACCAAATTTTTAGGGTTTAGGATGGACCAATATTTTACTAAAAAAGGAGCAGCAAAGGAGTAGGATCCAGGTTGAGACAATAGAGACACCTTTAATGAGAACAATGAGAGACCCTGTCATTTACAACATCGAAAAAGACATACACAAATTTGTAACACTTAACTAAGACCCTTTGACCTTTGTTATAACCTTGGACCGAGTGACCATTTAAAGCATAAATGATTTTTTACAAGATAACAGGCACGCAGTCATTGGATGGATTTTGAATTTTATAATCCAGGAACTTCAATAAATGTCTAAGATATTGTAAAAGATAGGCTTTAAAACTGAGAAACTTACCCCAAATGATTCTTCAAGATGCTGCATGGCCTGATCAAATTCTTGCATCCCACGATATCTTAAATAGTCTGCATCTCCCTATATGCACATATGTAACTAAATGTCAGTAAAATATATATATATATATATCAACAGTTCCATTCTTCTAAACTGGAAAAGATTTGGTGATTATGAACTATAATGCATTTCATAAAGTTTTATTAGATGTGTATGAAATGCTTTCCCTTGGAACAAAATATCGAAAAATGAAAAAAAAAACATTTTACAAAACATTAGATACTTTTTTTTAGTACACAACAAGTGGGGGTGAGGATTCAAATTCATGATATTTTGGTCAGAGATAAGTGCCTAAACCAGTTGAACTAAGATTGGCATTGGAACATGTAATTATGTTTATTCCACAATAATTTATATATAAGAATTTGATGCAATTATTTAATCACTAAAATAAACTAAATCATAAATCCTTTAATGCAAAAAATATCATTTAAAATTAAGCAACTGTTTTTTCCCCCAAAAATACACTTGTGAATTTATTTAAAGAAAAGAAAATGAAGGCTTGAAAGAACATTTCCATGCTCATGAGAAAAAAGGTAATTTCTATGGTGGCATCCAAAAATTTTTGGATGCCTGCGAATGGGATTTTTTTAAAAATTATATATCTATGAGTGTCTATTGCCAACTTATTCACAATTTAACTAATTTCATCATATTACCACTTGACTGTACAATATTTGGTTGTCAAGAAACTCGCGGGACTTTAATATCCTAGGTGGATGACTTAAACTCATTCACCCATTGTCCATCACACTGAATTATGACTTCAATAATTTGAACAAGAATGGTTATTTCCTCTAAGAATACTCGATTAAACTTTCAAACAAAAAATCTGACTAGAACATTGATAAAAAAAAAGTTTGGGAAACTATTTACTACGTTAGAGGAAAAAAGAAAAATGAGAGTCAAGCCTTACTCTGTAAATGATATATTCTTTAATTATACTAGCAAATGACATGGTCAAGAATAGAATTGAAATTCAAGCTATCAGATAATTAAAAAATGTGAATTCTTTCCCCGTCATACTGCAGAAGCCAGTCTATATGATCAGAGTGGTTAAAATCCTTCTGCCTCATCTTTATTTATAATCTAGAAACTTGCTAAACCTTTAGTTTTATAACGCCACATTTAGAAGTTCTAGTCTGATCACCACAAGAATCAACCAAGATTTTAATAATTTGAGTTCTAACATTGTTGTTGTACCAAATATCAGCGTGGGAATCTGAGCCATTAGAACCTAAGGTCTAAACTTCAGACACGTGATGATCACACTCTTCAATAAAATATCGACCTAAATAAGAGAAGAAAATATGAGTTGGCAATCACTCACCAAATCAAATCTACGCCGACATTTATCATAGCTGTTACTGTTTCCAGGAATTATTGCACCACCAGGAAGATGTTGATCGCCCCTTGGAAAATCAATCCACTCTGAAAGAATGATATTAGGCAAAAGATTTTCCAAAGGATAATAGAGCAACACGTTGATAAAACCGTGATACTGCCACATAATGAATGATTTATATGAAATATCATCCCAGCGATATAAAAATGAAAGACAAAGCAGGGCAGTATCTTACCAGGATGTCCAAATTCATTCCCCATGAAATTCAAATATCCTTCTCCACCCAATCCCATGGTAATAAGCCTTATCATTTTATGCAATGCTATTCCACGATCAATTGCAGGAGTTGATGGTCTGTCCAAAGCCATGAATTCATACATGTCCTGGAAAACATGAAATAAGAGACTCAGCAACATAAGTAATCCTCTTTGTATATGCTTCATAAGGTCATTGGAACCACTCTTAATATAAACAAGAAAATTGGCATGAAAGAATGTATGTTAATTTCAAAAGTACAGGTTAATCAATATTTATGTAATCTCTTAAAATCTAAAACCTGTTGCCTTATAAAGTTGGATAAATGGTTGAAGAGGTGAAAACAATAGACGAAAAGTCAACTAGCATTTAAACATATCTATAATTTTTTAAGGTTTCTACGATTATACTCCCTTAACAAAACTTGGATGAGATGTTTAATCACAAAATTTACAATTGGACGAACACTAGCCCGGGTTCTGGACAAATTTACACTGAATTATTAGTTGTTCTACATTCATCCATCTTTCTGGTAGTTCCATTTTGTTTATTTAGTTCTTTGGTAGGGGTTGAGTGTACAATATCATACAAATTCAGCAGCTGGTAGTAAATGCAAAACATTGTTCTTACACAAATTGCATGTCTTCAAATATTCTTGTATTAAAAAATTGCATCTGCTACTCTGCCTTGGGGATTCATTTCCAGGCTTGTAACTTTAAGAAATGTGTAGTCGCCTGCTTTTTGTTAGTCTTAACACAACATGCAATCTTATTGAAAGATAAAATAACATGTTCTATAGTAAATTATAGTCTTCAGAATCTAACATATTTCACACTTATGAAACCTACACAACTTAGTTATTAGCCTGTTGCATGCATCTTAAGAGTGAAAAAGAAGTTGTGGTAAGTTTGAGAATGTTTTCAATAGAAATATTTAAAGATAAATATACTTTCTACTTGCACACTGATGAGAGAACGAGTCCAGGATGATGTTTATTAACCTTGTCCATTAACCAGAATGCAACTGTTTTATCACCAACAAGAGCTTGGTCATGACTTTCTGCATATGCAACGCACTTCTCTAACCACCTTCTGTTAACAAGCGTGTGAACGATATCACCCATTTTCCAGTCTTCATCGCTTTTCCTACGCCATACACAAAATTGGTTAAAGTAGAGCATCTCATAACTTCTTTACGTACATTTAGGGGAAAAAATTCAAAAAATCCTTCACATGGAGGCATTATGCTACCACACTCCCAAATTTGTTTAGTCCAAGAAGAAAGTTTCAAAACGAACCTTCTCTTATTAATGGCAGCATTTTTTTTTTTTTGAAAAATAGCCAGTCAAATATCATATAGGTTATGTCATGCACTCACTCTCAGCCAAGATATAATATAGAGATGTATGACACATGATTTTTGAAGGCGGTAATGCATAAGTTTCTTTGGGAGGGGGGCTTCTCGCCCCCCGGCCCTTAGGCTGTTCCGTTTTGTTTCTTGTGGAATATAATCGTTTCTTATATAAAAAAAAAGAAGTGACAAATTATATAAGAATTATTTTTGCATTTACTCATAATTAAGGCAAAGAACATTTCAATATGTGTTTTTAGCAAATCTGGATAAAGTAGGAGGAAGAAAACAAACATACTTGAGAAGCTCTATCCATTTATCAGCAATGGCCATGTGCAGACGGTAATCAAATCCAATCCCACCATCTTGGACAGGAATGCAAAAGGCAGGCATTCCACTAACCTGAAAAATTAGAATTTTATCTCAATTCTCATGAATAGACAGCAAAACTTAACCACTATAATGGTCAAACCAAGTGTTCCAGCATTCCCATGTCTAAAATTTGAACATTCTCATCAATTTTGAGTGTCAAAAACATCAAATGCGTCCAACACCAACACTCTGTTGGAGTGGAATACCCAAGCTGTGTATCATGCTTGGAATTTTTTTCTCCTCTATGAAACAATCCATTAAAAAAACAAGAATACAAGAGGTAGGGAGGATAAGATATTCTATTTTGATCAATAAAGAAGAATAATGCATGTACAGATTGAGTATGCAAGATAATGCATGTTACCAAAGTAACGAAGTTCATGTTACTGATTCCTGGCATGGAGAAGTGCATCACCTATTTATAGTAGTGAAGTAGAGTTCATGGATGTGTATAAGAATGTAGACATGGATGCAGACACTTAGAAAATCAGATGGAATATAAAAATTACCTATACGTATATGATAACTAAGCACTAAGTTCCTGAAAGGAGTATACGTTATTATCATCACCAACATATCTATAAAGAAAAGAAGGAAAAAAAAAACCTCTGGGTACATAGTGTCACTTTATAATGAATTCAAGAAACATACATCTTCACCAATTGAAACAGCTTCAGGATAAAGCCCATGAATCATATCATTGACCAGCATCAGATACACCACAGCATCTACATCTGTAGCATATCCGAAGTACTCATTGTAGTTTCCAGTAAACTCTACCTAAAGCACACTCAGATAGAAAAAAAAAGTTCTGGTCATAAATCAAAGCACCAACATTACATATTATTATAAATCCTGACACATTGCACAATTGTAGTCAAATAGAGCTAAAATGTGAATTACCATATCAAAAGATAAAAAAGACAGTGAGCTACAGATCTATAGGCAGCGGACTGTGATCAAAATTTAAGAATGTCATTCATAAGCCTTTATTACTAGATTTCTCAAGTAACGAAAGCCTTACACCTCGCCCCATCTTGTAAGGTAAGTTCCCCAACCCTCACCAAATAGTACCTGCAAGCCATGATGAGTGTACATCATTGAGGTCACACCATCAAATCTGAACCCATCAAACTTGTATTCTTCCAGCCACCATCTTGCATTTGATAGCAGATACCTTAGTACCTAAATGAAAGTTACAGATGGATGAAACCTTAGGTTATATCTATATATGAGGTAAATGTAAGGGGGGCAAAAGTCAAGTCCATCCACACACACACACACACACACACACTTGTTCATTGATAATTATTTAAAAAAAAAAATAGAGAATAAGAAAGAAAGAAAGAAAGAAAGAAATAAAACTTACTTCCCAGCTTCCATAATTAAAAAGACGAGAATCCCACATCCAATGATAGCCTCGTGATCCAGAATGAAAGTAATGGCCATCAGTGCCATCAAACATGTTTAGTCCATCCAACACATTCTTTGATGCATGGCTGCATTTGTAATCAGATACAGAACGATAAAGGATAATGGTTTTTTTTAATGAAAAATAGATGAATAAAGAAAAAGAACTTGAAACAAAGAACCAGATAATGGATTTAAATTTATAGCCAAAGATCTCAAAACTGTGGTCGGACCAAACAGTGTAATGAAGATTTTACATTGTATCATATGACCCATTGGAGATCTTTTTTTCCTTCTTGAATACAACTTGCGGGAGTTATAGTTGATGAAAATGATTTTCCCCAGTTTTTTATATGTCATCATTTTAGAAGAAAAGTAGCCAGGAACTACCTAATGCCTCCATATATGCCAGGTGATATAAAAAGACAATTTTTCAATCCTAAAAGATAAAGACTAGGTAACGAATACTAAAGGATAGAACAAAAGAAAAGAAAAGCAATTATCCCACAAAGTAGTGTACTGAAAATAAAATAAAGGATAATGGTCCCTTTTCCCGTGTTTACCTATGAACAATATCCATGAGAACAAGCAGGCCCAGCTCATGAGCTCTATCTATCAAGGACTTAAGTTCTTCAGGGGTTCCACAGCGACTGCTAGGAGCAAAAAAGTTGGTAACATGGTACCTACATTAAAATACGCAAGTTAACAATTGAATCCAGGGAGATACCACACAAAGTGTTGGGAAATAGTTCTGAAAAAGCTGCACATCATTCATTAACAGAATTATACTAAAAACTACAGAAAAATTTAGAAAAATCAGCGTATAATAAACATGAACTTACCCAAAGCTAGCATAGTAGGAATGCTCTTGTATAGCCATGATCTGGACAGCGTTGTATCCGAGCCTCTTAATGCGAGGAAGAACATCATCTCGAAAATTTGCATATGTATTTATAATAGGTTCCTTCAATTCAATGTTAGCATATCAAGACATGAATGAAGAATATTTATACAGTGGCAAAACATAAGGTTCAAGCTGGAAGCTTTTGTTCGTAGTAGAAGAGGAAAGGGAAGGGGATAGGGTTTTGGGTTTAGAGAGAGGAAAAAGGTGAAAAGTCAATTGGATACAAATTTTTTCTATAGAATTAGATAAAACTTTCTTCTATAGCATTGGCTTTCCTTGTGTAATGCTCTTTCAACCAAGATATGTGCTGGTTTCTGGATTTTAAATCTTGTGGTCTTCAAAGGATTTTCATTGTCTTTTGGTGGTGATGTTTGTACAGTTTAAGATGATGGTTTCTATGTTCATAAAGTTTCAGCAGTCTTGAGTTTTGTTGTTAGCAAAACGTAACCAGAAGGTTCTTTCTGGAAAAGTGAAGTTGCTGCCGGAAAGATCGAGTCTTTGCTTTTGCCTTTTGTTTAAAGTTGGTAGCTGGTTTAAGTTTTGTAAGACCGAGTATTTTAAGCAGGGAAGGCATCAGTTCCAATTTTATAAGGAAAACCAAAATTCCAAAGAAGATCAAGACTTTTTCTTGGTTGGTTACTTTAGGGAGATTATACATCGTCGACTTTGTCCAAAGATCTCCAGCCACAACTTGTAGGTCTATTTGGTCAAGCACTTTAAAGTGTTTTTTACACTTTTATGTTACTCCCTCCCAAACATAATTTTGGGAGTGCTTTTAGCATTGAAAATAACACAAAAGAAAAGAAGAATAAGCATTTAAACAGAACGCAGAAATTAACCATCGCAGAGAACAGAAGATGCTTACCGTACTACTCATACCAACATGGCTCTCATAAATTCTAAGTGATTTCGGCTTTTTTGGCTGAGGATGTTGAAATACGTACTTTTCCTTCAATGACAAGAGGCATACAGAAAGTATAGTTTAGTAACACAAAACACTTTGCATCTTCGATATAGAAAGTCATACAATAATAACTAGCTAATAAGCAAGCAATTATCACCAAATAACAATGCAGTAGATAAGGATTTTCTCACCCATGATCTCACTAAACAACAGGGGGAAATTTTAAGATACTAAATTCAATGTCATTAAACTCTTTTTTTTCTCTTTGATAGAAAATATCACTGAACTTTGATTTTTGAAACGCCCTCATGGATTCAAAGTAGGGTAAAATCTAATGTCAATAATATCTTTTCCCCACTATTTATCAATATTTGCAGATATGCAGTTCCAAAAGGTTTTCCATATTGTCTGAATGGTTATAAGACATAAGGTAAACTTTTCTGCCATACCTCTTCTGGTGGATCATAGTATATGCCATTATACGGTATTTCACCAGGAGCCTGTATGGAAAACTTGATCCAAGCAGGAATTGAGTCTTTAATGCCAGAAGGAGTATCCATTCGAATCTACAAGTGACAAAGATCCAATTCATGATGCATTAGAACAAGGTTGTTGATTTTGTGCGTTGCAACATCAGAAAAAGCTTGGTCACTGGCCATCAACCAAAAATGATTATCCGTTTCCTCCATTAAATAAAATATTTGTAACTGAAAGGCGCATAATAGTCTTGTATTCAACTAACTGAAACGGTAAAACTAATCTAATTTAATCAAATCACTTAAACTTTAGGTCTCAGATATTACAAGTCAAACATAAACATGATTTCCTGATTTGCTATTTACAAGAATGCCCTAACTTTATTGTTGAAAATAAGAAGTTAACCCTACATGAAGAAAATTTTAGCTTTATTTGTGATCAGCATTGACTCTTTGCCTTTTTTCTTTTACGTAAAAACTGATTTGGAATATACTTGATTTAGATAGGTTCCTTAAACTGTTTTGTGCATGTATGTACGTACCTATGTGCACTCATTCTGGAGATAGTGAAAATTGTCATCTTTGGGTGAAAGTCCCCAAACCCATAGACGAGCATTGCTTAAATTGTTGTAAACCATTTATTACATATGTTTATTATCAAAGATTCAAAATAACCTCTTACACTTATTTTTCAAGTATTTTTCTCGGTCCTTTTATGTCTTCGTAGAAACAAGACTGAATCTATCAAGTGTTGTACATTGGCAACCTATGCTTCAGATGAATGTTTCAACCTTGGGATTAGTTTGTTCTAGGTCATTTCCCCTTAATGGTGGTAAATGTTATGGAATATCCGTATTTGGTAATTGTTATAAATTCTACTTACTTGTAGGCTTCATATTGGCCAATCAAAAAAGCGATCCAGCAATTTTCTTTCAGTTATTTTAATTTCACATCCATATTTTCAAATAAAAGTCTTCTAGAGGTTTATATCACAATTATTTTTCTTGCATAATTCATACAACATCTTGAGAATAAGTACCTTCACTCGAGAACCATGGGGAATGGCTGGTGAACCATCTGCATTATTAGGCAAAAAAATTTCCCAGACACCAAACTCATTCTGCACATACAAAAAACATAATTTTAAATAGCATTCTACATCCAGAAAGAAAGTACTAAAATGCACAATAAGTATCAAGTTCAGAGAGAGAGAGAGAGAGAGCAAATAAATTTATTAGGATAAACAATGAGGAGTTGGAATCTGCAACAAATATTGCATACCCGGGTCATAATATCTGCATTGGGATTCCAATTGTTGAAGTCTCCAATCAACGCAGCTGACTAAAAGAGTAAAACAAATTATTTTCCTTGATGCAGTTAAAAAAATCTGTCAATGAGAGTTAAAACTGAATTCTCCATTAAATTGGACCTAGGATAGGTTGTTAATAATGTTGTCAGATAACCTTTGGAAGATTCACAGTAAATGCTGTGCCCTTTTTTTCCATCAGTTTGTTGCAAGAGACTGATGAAAAAATGCTGTACTCTTTTTTTCCCAACCGTGAAGTGTGAAACCACTCCCTTTCCAGCAAAATTCAACTGGAAGATAGAGATGGTCGAGGTAGCATCGTTTAAATCTTTTGTAACAAGCACTGTAGTAACTAGCAATGTTCTTATGGAGACAAAAGGTCAAACTAATAGAGTGGAAGTCATTTACAGTCTTGGCATCAGATTTTCTTTGGGAATGAGAAAAATGTAGGTTTCACTTAAGAAATAGTTATACCTTTCAAGAAAAAATCTTACAGTGCCCTCAGAATTTTAGTATATTACTCTTGCGAGTATTCCAACATTATTTAAAGAACTCCACCCTAACATAGCCTTGTTGAAACCCAAGCTTATAATAGCTTTTAAGATTTCCTCCTTTTGAAGATTAGTCTCAAGAACTAGATCTTTGGCTTTTGACAATAAGCCTCCAGAACAGTAGAAATCTGATCCCTTCTTTTCAGAGTAAAGTTTCTTTTCAAAAAAAGCAATTCATCTTCAATATCTTGGTCATTAATTGGAAGTCTTTAATGCTTTGAAGTATTTTATCAACTTATTTCAGTCAATGCAACAATTTATTTATAGATACTATCATATAAAGTAATCTATATTTGTTTTTCTTTACCACGAAACACAAAAAGACAAAAAACAAAAGGAAAAAAGAAAAAAACAGCTCTTCACTGTAATTTAGATACCATTGCATAATTACTACCTTAGCTATTGTTCAGTCAGTATAAAATGTAGTTCAAAGATTTTGCATAAAGTTTCCAATATAATGTTGGATTTGTGGTCTCTGAATAGTTCCTAGGTCTATGCCAAAGCAATTAACTGAACAAGAATAAATGAAAAATTCTAACCAACATTAAGGTGAGGAAAAACTGACCTTGGCTCCTGGTGCCCATTCCCTGTACGTGATACCTGTGGCACTGAAAAAACAAATTGAGAACAAATTTAGAAACCCTACAAGAAGTTGATCATGCACAGTTTAAATGATAACAATGAATAGGAAAAAGAAGGTGGTAGGCCTCCTATTATTAACACAAATATAACGGAAATAGAGTGAGGGGGCAACTAGTGGGTAAGAAGTGTGATGTTAGTGGGGGGTATTTTTTTTGTAGCTAACTAGTAGGTGGGAAATGGGTGCAAACCTAGTGGCTATTTAGAATAGCTGATGTAAGGGGGAGAAGTACTTTTCAGGTGATAAGCTAAGAAATGGGCAGGGGAAGTCTCTAAATTTCCAATAGGCTGGCACTCCTATGTACTCTTTTGAATCTGAAGTGAATTCTATCACAAGGTCTATATGGATGAAATTATTTTAAGATATCTTGAAGCAAGATAGATTTTGGAATGCATCAAAACACCGTTTTCGTTACTTATTAAACACAATATAAATGAAATTAATCAAAAGTAAATATGATGACATTATATTAGGAAACATGGGGTCTGAATATGATGATCGAGTAATAAGAAAAGCTTCACAAAAAATGACGAAAATAATCATATCTACTAGCCTTCAAATGACCATAGGTTTCTGGAATAAGTAGGTTCATGAAAACTATTTATTTGAGCTAAAAAATAACACTTCACAAGACTACAACAGTGACTTTCAGCATCGCCTTTGTCACTTTGGATTGGGAAAAACCTACCTAAGTAAATATACACATCTCGACTCACACTGCTGATTGAAAGAACCAAATATAGAAAATAGAAAATGGTACTCCCACATACTTTAACTGTTGGAAATATAATTTCATGTTTTCCTTATAAATAATTTTTCATATTTTCTGCATACTTTTGGTTTCCTTATTTCCCTGAGATCGCCGAAATATCTATCACCTCTTGCAATCCTTTATTTTCCTAATACAAATATATTCTCCATACAGCAGCAGAAAATGAATAGATAAAAGTTATTGTTCTAAAAGTTCTAATTTTATTACATATAACAATAGAGTCAATCATAAGCTGGTCAAAATCAGTGTTCACACGTGCAGCTGTGGGTGAGGGAGAGAGAGACGGAGAGATAGAAAGATGCAGGCGACATATAAAAACCAATAAAGTTACCTGCGTGTGAAACCAAACTTTTCATAGCCACGAGAGAACGCCTCTAAACCACCTTCATTCCGGTCAATAGCCTCCCTCATCCTTATGTACTGTCCATATCTAAATACATGTAGAAATGGTTAAACTTTGGATCCAACACTATGAAAACGAACAAGAGAAGGATTTTATGCAAGGATAATTATAAAAGGGATATGAAAGATCCCTCACATTCGACATCACTGGATTCTACAAGGAGCCATACAAAACTAGAAAAAAATTAAATTGTTTTTACTATTTCATATTTTATACGAAGTAGACACCTAATATATAACTTATAAGCAGTGCCAACCTACGTGGAAGAATGGGTGGTTAAACAAGAAAAGGAAACCTAATTCTAGGAATGAAGTCATGCATGTAAGGAGGGGGAATACCTCCTATAGAACCAAATATATTACAGATCATTTGTCTTAATTAAGCCCAGTATAGACATCAGATCTTCAAACTGGACTCTAGGAAGGATCAACACCCGGCATTAATAACCCAACACAACAGCACCAATGCGATAAGTTCTTTTCTAACACTTTTTATAAATAAAATAATTGATTAACTTGATGTGATCTGGAAGGAGGAGAGCTGGAGAAGCACGGAAAAGAAAAAGGGCAGAATAGAGAGAATATTATGTAATTGGAAAAGCTATTGAAGGTTCAGATGAAGAAGAGTTTAGTGTCAATTTGGCTCCATGTAGAAGTTGTTGAGGCATAGTCGAGAAGGTATTCGTTCATCCCCTTTCCTATAATAGAGGTTGGCTTCTCGCATCCTTTGCTATCATTTATAATGTCCGGTTAAAGAGAAGGATAATTTTCAGAGGTGTAGACTAGTCTTCCTTTGAGTATTCTCCACAATTTTTTTTTTTTTTTTAATTTTTCATTTCTGGAGCCGCTTCCGATAATTGCCTTATTTTTTATGCTGAGCTTCTGTGGTTTTAATTTTTATAGTGAGACCTCTCTTTTGTACTCTCATTTATCTTATGCGTCTTAACGTATGCTACCTTTGTAAGAGGGAGCAGGAGTACCATTTATCCATGCACTGCTGTGTCCCTTCTACATGAATTTCAGTCTTTTCCTAAGAATGCTTCCTGCAACCCTGAACAAATCCTGAGAGATCATTCTTTCAAATGAAAGGCAAAGACCTTAAGGAAAATGCTACTATGGGGACTATTTGGAGAATTTTCCTTGAAAGAGATGAGACTTTTCAAAGATGCTTCTAAAGAAAGTGAAGAAACTTGGTTCTTATGTACTTCAAAGTCTCTTTGCCAAGTTCCTTCAAGATTCTTTTCGTAATTATTTCTTTTTATTAATATTAGATGGATGGTGACAGAAACCAAAGAATGAAATTATATTGAAAGGATAAATATAAAGTACAATAACACTCCCCAAGTATCCGAGGTACTTAGAGGTTAGAACTTCCTTCTTGAGCTCACCCAGGCCTAGACCAACTAAACTATTGTCCACCTTTATCTCCTCCCTTTGCTTCCATCTGTAACCAACTCCTATTAACAAACTCCTTGGCTAATCACTAATAGTCCCTTAATATTCTAACTATTTCCAACTTCTACCCTAATGGTATTCCCATCAAATGAATTTTCAGAATCCCATTGGCTTCATTCAGTTTGATGCCTTATTGGTCAATGTACTTCTTTTAGGTGTAATGGAAGTGTTTTATGTCAGAAGAGTGTGGAATGAAGTTATAAGCTATAAAGAATGACAGAACAAACTCACCGGTAATCAATATGTTCTTTGTGACCTAACAAAAATGGATCTATTTCGTAGATTCTCTGTCCAGTGCCAGGTGGAGGAATGGACCTCACAATGGTTTCAGCCTTGTTACTTTGTGAAGGAATTGATATCTCCTCCAATGGTGCTTGATCACCATCAGCATTATCTACTACCAACGACTGAAGATCTTGATCTGTTTCTTCCTTCGTCTTCTCGTCAGCTTCTATTGTGTGACTATCTACATCATGAAGCACCTGAAACCAAGATACAAAAATATAAGAAGGAAATGATTGAGAAAATAACTGATGTGACAATGAATATAAACATGAGTATAAAGACAAAAGTATAGGCGTCAAGTAAATAGAACCAACCAAGCTACAACCATAAGATAAAAGCTATCCTTATGAACGTCCTTAGAAAGGAAAGCGCAAGTCCAGCCGGCTGCTTTCAGTATCTCTCCTTTTTCTTTTGGGAGAAGAAAGGCTAGAAATAGGTAATTGGAATTTGGATGGGCCTTGATAATAGATAAATTTACCAACAGGACTAATGCAGGGCATGGAACAAATAAAACAAAAGCCAAATGGCTGATTTTGTTGAATTGACTCTAAAATGTGTTGGGGGAATTAATATTCTAAGTATCAACCTTAGAGATTTTAAACATCTCACCTATAGTTAGAACTATATCATACAATTCAAAGAAGTTACCAGAAAAATTAATTATGTATGATCCTTAAGAATTCGAATTCAGTAAGACTTTTTATATAAGAAAAGTATTTTATTCACGTGAATGACATATACAAAAAACTTCACAGGTCTAAAAACAGCTTTCCAATTCAAAGGAATCGAAGAAGGAAAATAGTTACATAAAGCTTTGGAAGAAGAACTCCAAAGAGAAGGCCGAGAAGCTAAAAGAACCTTAAACTCATCTTGAAAGGTTCTTCTATTCCTCTCAAGCTAAAAGAACCTAAGAATAGCTTTAACCTCAGAACCAAATGACCAAAGCTTCCTAGTGAGATTGGTGAGACCACAAATGAGAGGATGCAACATTCCAAAGACTGATCTAGCGAAAGCTAAGTCAATAATGAACAATCCATTGAAAGAGCTTCCACCAAATAATTGAGAGAAAGACCACTACAAATATAAGCAGACAGCACTCACAGCAAGAATTACAAAGAGTATACGTATTTGGTTATAGGTGGCAATTAGACTATTTCTCTTGAACTTTATCATTATTGTTAAAACCCCCTTCGACGATAGTCCAAACAAATACTTTAATTTTCTCAGGATATCAGCAATTCAACTGCATAAAATTATTTTACTACTAATGGAAGACACCTGCGTGACTGCGTCCACAATCTCACTATCATTTAGAATGGAAGACCATCTAACAAAAGGTTTGTCTTCTATCTCGTAATTGGATTTCTACCATTGCAATGCAAAATAATAATATCCACCAGAATGAAAAATAGCCTTTTCCTGCTCATTCCACTCTCGTAAGCTTCTTTTATACCATCACATTTCCATGCAATATCCCCGTGGACCCCGTCCCTCCACAATGCACCTTCACCGGTCTAAAATCTAAAATTCAGCTTAAGTTAAACTTAAAGCTAACAATCTCAGTAAAACCAAGAGCAGAAATATCATATCACTAACCTGAGGATCCTCTGAGACTGTGCCAGAAATTCCGGACTGGCCAGCCAAAGGCGAAGGGCCATCGCTTTGGCTCCCAGGAATCAGGACCTTGTCAGATGCAGCAGTTGCAGTCGATAACACGGAATCAGAATCATAAGAAGACTTGGTTGCAACGATCTTCCCTGCAAACAAGAATCAATCCAACTCCATATAAAGAAGAACAAATCTCCAAAAACATTGTCATCAATTTCGCAAGTACGAGCTGAAGTTCATTAACCACTGATCTGTTTACAAGTCCACTTAAACAAACAACAGCATCAAATTTCCAACGCCAGTGATCCAACTCTAGACTTAAAATATACCTTTCCCCAAGAAAACGCACATAAACGACATTCTCCAGCAAAAAACAATAATCAAACAAGAAAATCAACTGGAGCTCCGGGAGCACACATCTTAGAACAGAGTAAAGGATTATGGAGAAGGAAAATGCAAAAGTGAAGTGAGTGAGTATACTAGCAGACGAGTCCTTCCTGGTGAAGAGAGACAGCGGCATCCTCCTGTCGCCATTGAAGGTGGAGTCGGAGCACTTGCAGAGCCATGGAACTGCCGGGAACCGAATCCCGGGGATCGTGTAAACCATTTTCCGACGAGAGAAAAAGGAGAACCGGCGAAATTGAATGAGAGGAAGGTGATGAAACAGCGTGAAGAGAATTCAGAGAGAAGAAAAAGAAAAAAAAAGGTTTGTGTGTATTTTGAGTATTGAATTCACTGACTCACAGAAATGGGGAGAGGCAAATGAACGGCGCGAAAGAGAGGGAGAGAGCGGAGGAGAGATGGGATGCCACGTGGATAGTCATGTTACGCGGGTCCCACTTATAGTTTCAAGTTTCAAGTTCCAAGTCCAACTCTCTTTTCGTGATTCTAAAAGCTTTTTTTGGGTTTAAATATTATTTTATTTATTTTATTCCCGAACCATCTATTTTAGTCTCTTTTTTATCTTTACAATTGCAATTTTAATTTTTATTATGTTGAATTTTAATTTATTTTAATCTATTGGTTTGTTTTCTTCAAGGTACATTTATAAGATTCAAGGTACATTAAAAATTCTTTAATAGAAAGTCATGGTTGCATTTTAAACAAATATATTAGGTATGGTGTCGTGTTGAAACTATAATTGAGAAAAATGAGATTAAAAATTAAATTAAATGACCAAAATTTTCGTTTTCTAAAACTATAGAACCAAAACTAATATTTTGAGAGTACATTGACCAAGAGGAACCAAAATTTAATGTACAATAACTAAAATAAATATTTTGAAAGTATATTGACCAAAATGTACCAGAACTAAAAGTACAAGTATGAAAATAGTATTTTAACTTTGTTTATTTTAGCATTGGTACGCTCCAAACGTCCACCTTAATCACTACATTTATATAAAATGAAGATTTTGATCTTCGTTTATAAATTTTTAACACATTTCCATTTAAATCAATACTATTATGATCCTTAAATTTTGAAGTGTCCGTTTTAATTTCTATATTTCCGGGGTGTTCTTTATTTGGTAAAATTTTGATATACTTTTGTACAAGATATAATTTTGTTATAAAATTATTACTGCATTTCAATAAATTTATTGAATGTACCGTTATACTAAAATGGCAATATAAATAAATAAAATAATACATGAACCATAAACCATTTTTTAAAGTATATAAAAGGAAACTAAATGTTGGAAAAATACATGAATTAAAATAAACAAAATTTAAAAATATAATTATCAAAATGATTTTTTTCAATTTAATAATTATAGAGTAAGAACCTCCCTGCATATTAAACTACCTCGTCCATTTAAGTTATGCTCCAATCACATCACAATAAAAAATGGAAAAAAAATAGATCAACCTAAATATTTAAATAAAAAGAGCCAGGAAATAAATAATAATAATAACTTGTTTTGATGAATTTTCTAGGACCGCTGAATGAGGGCCCACGTGCCACGTGGGTACGTCGTCGTTTTACGAAGATTAGGAACGAATGGCTGTGAATCTGAATCTGTGACCGTTCGTTTGTTACGTGTGTTCCTTCCTATCCTCTCTCTCTTACTTTTTTTCCCTTCTCTCTCTAACATGAGACGTGAAACCGTCCAAAATAGATATTATATTGAATCTAAATTAAAAAGTAAATTTAATTGGAAATAAAATTTTATATTAATTTAAATTGAGTTGAACTCCAAAGCAAATTATTATAAATATTGTTCGATTGCGTATGGAATAATCATCGCATATATTATAACGATCAGAATCTTATAAACTCAATCAATTAAAAAATTATGCCTCAAGATCTTTCTACTAGAGGAATAATTAATTTTAATTATAATTATTAGATTAAGAAATAATGACGGATTGAGATGGAAGAGAAAAGTTTGCAATATTTATTTTTTATTTTTTTTGTTAGTACCACATTTATTTTTTGAGTCTAAAGATTCGAACCTCCCACCTTTTAATTGATGATATGAAATAATTAAAAGAATTAATGTAATTTCTAACTAGATGAATAATTATTAGATGGGTTATTTATTTTCTTATTGGTAAAATGGAGGAGAGTAAAAAAAGTAAATCGTAAAAAAAATATATTTATAGTTTGTTTTGAAAATAACGTAATTTTTAGGGATGGTTGCAAATATGTCAAAAATATTTAGTAAAATTAGTAAAATAGCAACCATATTTAGTTTTTTCAAATATAGCTCTAAAAAAATAAGGTCCAATTTTAAAATGACAACTTTACACAAATGATATACATATATACATATGTAATATATCTATAATGTATTTGACTACTGATATATATGTATGCATGTGTAATATTTATATGATATATATTTAATATACTATGTGAAATTTTTTGCTATATTTGAACATTAAAAAATAGGTGACATATTTGAAAATACACAAAATATTTTTGCTATATACCCTAATTTCTCTAATTTTTATTTATTTATTTTTTGACAGCATCACTTTTCATTTTACACCAATGTAATTTGCAACAAAAATTATAAAAAAATATTTATGTGGTCTTACTTGATATGTCAAAATCAATAAAAAAGTAATATCACCCAATATTTTTTGCAAAAAAAAAAAAGGAAAGAAAAGAAAAAAAGCCCCACCCGACTTACCTTGATTGGAAAAAAGACAAAAAGTGTGGATGAAAATATTAAAGTCGTTATATTATTTATTATATTTCTATTAGTGGATCATGTCATAAAAAGTGCACGTTTTTTAGTTCAATGAAATATAGAAGTGAAAAAAAAAATGTAAGACTACACATTTTTATAGATAAAAAATTTGAATATTCATAGCTTATTTATGATGTTATATAAATAGAGTTAAATTGAAAAGAATTCAGATTTGTCCGCATGCCCAATTAATTGAGTTTTTTTATTGTCAAAATCGAGCATAGCTCAGCGATAATTGACATATACTTCTCATTTTAATATAATAGCATATGTTATACTTATGAACTCATTCCTCAAAGTAAATACTTTGACTTTGTTCATTTGTCCGATAAAAGCACGAAAAATCAAATTAAATATTTCATCTACAACAATTTCAATATTTAGCAAAACTTCTAGAACAGAAAGGAAAAAAAAAGATGCATTAACAAAAAAATAAAATAAAAATCTCGTTTTGGTCCCTAAATTATCGCTATTGTTCTATATTAGTCCTTGAACTTTAAATAAATATTTAGTTGAGTCTCTCAACTTAAAAGAAAAAAAGAAAAAAAAATAACAATCACTTACCAAATTAGGATAAATGACTTGTATCAAAGGTTGATCATTTATCTTCACAGTTGCAGAACTCAACAAATAAAATAAAATAATCACTTTGGTCCACAAAATTAATTGAGGTCAGCAGTAGCAAGAACAGTAATAACTAAAACATATATTTTGAAAGTTTAACGAAAATATATGGATTAAAATAAAAGAAAAATAAAAAAAAAGAATAGGGAGTATCATACTTTCGTTGATGATTGTCTTTTCAAGAAAAAAAAATGATGATTGAAAAAGAAACCAAAAAAGAAATTTGAATGAGTTGTCTGTCTCGAGGGGGTCACGTGGCCGAGTGGGTGTTATTTGTTGAATGGCAAGTTTAAAGGGAGGACTATGATGTTGGTGTCGTTTAAGGAAAATTAAGGACAACGAAAGAATATGCTGTTTCCACCAATGAATCCAAATGGCACTTTCCATTTTCGAGATCAAATTTGGAGGGCCACTCTTTTTCTTGCTAAAAATAAAAAAAATAAAAAAAAAAGAATGGGAAATTGGTATCTTGAATTGGAATTTCCAGCAAGTATATTCTCCAATTTCAAAATATCTCGGAGCTTTAGTTGACATTTCACGTTCATCAAATTGTCACAGGGTCTACTTTAGTTCTTGTACTTTCAGGCACTTTCAATATTTTCGTGTTTACACTTTCAATTTTGATATATTTTTTATTTGTGTACTTTCAATTAGTCAATGTTAGTAATGGTGTGTTTGAAAGTGATGAAAGAATGAATGACTTTGAAAAAAAGAAATTTAAATATAATTGATTTTTGAAAATCACCATTAAAGTGATACCTTCAAAATCAATTTAGAGTGATTTTAAATTTTCGTAAAATTATTTTTTTTTAATTTTCAAAATATAATTAATTGAAAGGAAAATGATTTTGACAATAACAGAAGTGACGTTGACACCAAGTTAATTGAATGTATCGAGATTGTGATGAAACAATGAGATAAAAAAAAGATGGATCAAAATGACACATTTATAAAAGTGTTCCGAAATAGGATTTAAATACATATTAGTTACATATTTAGAGAGCAAAATTATTCTTATGGCATGACTTCTATTTTTATCAAATTGCAACATAAACTAAAATCACTATGCTCTTTTTTTTTTGAGTTCTACTAAATCGTACAAAATTAAACTAAAAATATAAAGTTAGGAAGATAGGCAATAACTCAATTGAGTTATCTCTTGTTTTTTGGAAAATTAAGATTAATTAAAAGTAAGCTCATGAACTTTAATGATTGTGTTTATTTAGTGAACTTTTCAATTTCGATTCATACGACCATACGATTCAATGGAATTGAAGTATAAAANAAAGACCATATCAATAATATTTTAAGCATATAGCACTATAGAAAAAGAAAAAGTGAAGTGTCATTAAAAATACTCTAGATGAATACATTATGTAATATAAGCTCCCAGAGTATGTAATATAAGCTTCATATATATGTGTGTGTTGTAATATAACATGTAAAATGATTATAGATTTAACATTTTAGAAATCATTGTCCTCAACTTTTTCCCTTAATCATCGTATCTATCGAGCATCAAATTCTTTAGATTCAACGTCGACTATACTACAACATCAGAATTTAGATCAATCTGTAAAAGATTCAATGTCAACTACGCTACAACATTAGAATTAAGGTCAATCTGTAAAAGATTCAACGTCAATTAAGCTACAACATCATAATTCAGGTAAATCTGTAAAAGATTCAACGTCAACTATGCTACAACATCAGAATTCAGGTCAATCTGTAAAAGATTCAACGTCGATTATGCTGCAATATCATAATTCAGGTCAATCTGTAAACTAAAGAAGTTAAGGTGGCAAATGACAATATTATGATACCAAAAATAAAAAAGCATACCCCTGATACTATATTTATACAACGTATCATACCTTTATCTCTTTCTAAAAGGAAACTATAAGAAAATAAGTAAATAAGTACAAATAGGAAGCTCTTGAGATTCATTTCCACTGCCAGCCTGAGTATTATATCCTCATCTTCGACCAAAATATCAGAAGTTTAAATCTCCAGCCCCACATGTCGAAAAAGAAAAATTTATCCCCACTGTTCTGTGTTTGTTTTTTCCTTGAAATATCATAGTATTGGGACCCACACCCTAATTATGCTTACTATGACTCACCTACTAATACAGGGAGGCTTCGCTTCGCCCACCCGAATGCGAGCTTGGAGAGACAACAAGAAGTTTTTTATTAAGTTCCAACCGGGGAGATTGAACTTGGACTTCTGAGGGTATTGCCCTTTGGGGTGAGTTTCAACCTCTTTGTTATACTAAATAGTAAATACCACATTTAATATATACACAGGCTATGTTTGGAATGAGGAAATGTGTAGAAAAAATAAACAAAATGAAAGAAATCTATGATATCCGGACTTCTCCAAAGAACTGGAATCTCACTCGAGAAGAAAGACTGATTATGGCTAAAATCTGTGTATGAGATGTCTGATCAATAGAACTTTGCTATGTGATCAAATACCATATTAGAAGAGGCAAAGCAGCCATAGCAAGAATTGGAGTCAAAAAATACTTATTAAAGAACAGTACGAGGTGAGCTTATGATACAAAATAACGCATCATGAAGTGATTAGACAAGACAAAAAGAGACATGATGCAACTCAATTATCATTTTCGTATACTAATAAAAGGTGTTTCTAACCTCGATTGTATGCTTAACTATCAGGACAGTCGATCGGCAGAAAAAATTACTACTGCATCATGTTATCAGTATCACGAACAATTTTCATCGATGGAAGCACGATTGCAGCAACAGGATTATCCTCCAGTCCGCCGCCTTCATCAATGATGAGTCTTAAGCCATCTATATGGAGCTTTCCATGGTGTCCACTTACAATAATTGTTGGCTTCTCAGATAGTTCCTGCAAGATACAACCCAGATGCCTCGACTTCAGCAAGTTTTTACAATGGAAGGATGAAGATAATGTTAACTAAACCGAGTTAGGAATTCGATTTCGTTTTCAATAAAAGGACAACACAATCGATATTGTTCACGACTTTAGAGTCATCACCTCTGGGATGTCCCAAACATTTTTCCTCCCACTTAAACACTCTATCTTGGGCACTTTGGTGTCTTTGGCTTTCAAAAGCTTCAGTTGCTCTTGAACATCTTTCCCTTTCTCCAAGCCAGCATGGACGCCAATCAATTTACAGTGTTTGATTCCATCCTTCGTCTCCACACAGACATCATCCTAGAATCAATTACAAAGATCATCCAACGTATATTGGAGACGAACTATAATTTTTCTGCCCATTCATGAAATCATATATTTTGAAATGTTGTTTGCTTGAGAGAGAGGGAGACTTACCTCTTCATGTACCCAAACCATATTGGAAAGGAATTTCTTGTGTTCATCAGGCACTGCCTTGACCAAATCTGAGAAACAGTGGTTACATTATTTGTTAGATTCTCAACTTAAGAGACAAAAATATAACAAAAACAGGCAGCATCTAGCATGTTGATCAAACATTATTTCCTATTCGAACAATTCAAGACGACTCCAACCAAATACAAGTTTTATCTAGTTATAAATTAGTCAAAAATATGTAAGAATCTCCCCAATGAAACACAAAAGTCTATTTAATTAGTTAGTTGGTATATGCAGAAGAGGGTAGTGAAGATGCGCACCTATTCCTTCATAGCCCTTTATCCACTTCTCTTTTGGGGGGAAGTTTGTTCTACTATTTTGATTTTTATGGAGCTCTTCCTAGCTTCATTAATGGCACTCTCAACCTTTTCATTCAAGGGTCATGAAAGTCAAAGTTCCTTTGATGCAATGCCATTTGTTCCACGCTGAACTTATTAAGACGGAATGCAAAAGAGATTTTTTAAGATATCAATAAATCTCCAGAAGAAGTCTAGGAAAGCATAGTTTTTTCTGGCCTCCACTTGGTTCTTTCTCACAATATTATTTTTGTAGTTGTCGTAATTATAGCCAAATTTGAAACCCGTTTTGTAATCCCTTGGCTTGAGATTCTCCTTTTGTACATTTTAGTTTATCAATGAAACAGCCTTGTTTCCTACAAAAGGAAAGTTGCTATATGACTTATATGAGATACTTCAAGAGGAAATTGTTAAAATGCCAACTAATATAGGTAAAGGCAGTGGCAATGAAGCGAGATAGGAAATTTTGTGGGTTTGTTAGTTTGAGCTTGCTGAAGGGGGAGGTATCCAGTTCTTGAATTACATAAGATTATATTGTATCAATCTTAATGAAACTTCCTTGTTCTTTACAATTTAAAATTCCTTGCTATCAGCTCCTATAAAATTGGTATCAGGGCATCCAATTCTTGTGCATAGATCTAGACAAAGAAAAGGCTCATAGGAGATAAAATGAAATCTAAAGGGTGAAGTACCGCTAATGACTAGAGAAAGCCGATACAAATGAACAACAGACGGTCACACATATAATAATCTAGCACAAGCAAAAAAATATTTGCAAATATGGCACAATTTTCGAAAAGTGTCATCAAATTAGCAGTCATTATCCAAAATTTTCTCCATCGATACTGAAAAGGGAAAAGATGATACAAACAAGAGATTTGAAAATACAACGAATTCAAGGCGACATCCCAGCAATAAGTTAGAAACAATACCAGCAGATCCATGAGGAACACCATATGATTCAAACGTCGGTCCAGCATCGTAGATGGAACCCTTATAATCAGTACCTTTCGCCAGATTGGTCTTTGCCTTAATTTTCCCAGCCCATCTCCTCCCTTGCAAATGCATATTCTCATACCCCTCTCCCCTGAACCACCCTTCCCGGTCTTCATTCTCCTCGTACTGCTTCCACGTATCCGAAAACGCCGATCCATCGGCCGGAGGAGGCAAAACTCCGAGGAAAGCGGCGAAGGCGAAGTCGTGATTGCCGGAGAGGAAAACGTGCTTCTGGTTCGGGTATCTGGAGGGTAAATTGAGCAAGAAATCGATTACTTCTCGGGTATTCGATCCCCTGTCGCAGTAGTCGCCCAAGAAGATGATTAGGGCGGAGTCGAAATCCGATGGGTCGAATTGGGACACGAGGTTCGACCATAAGTTTTGGAGCTTAGATAAGAATCCATGGACGTCGCCAATGCAGCAGACGACTCTGGGTTTGGCCGGATTTTGGTCGGAATACGACATTGGATGGAGGACCGGCGAGGTGAATTGCGTAGAGCTAAGGCAGTTGGATTGATCCCATGTGATGATATGGCGTATATTATTTGGTTCTTTATTTTTTTAGGGAAAAAAAAAAGGATTTATGGATTTTTTTAGTCAAAATTAAGGAAAATCATATTGAAAATGGAAATTTTCAAAAAGAAAAGTGAAATATTAAAGTCGGGAAAATGTTCTTATAGTTCAATTAGACTCGATTCAAGTGATAGACCTCATTAACAAATACGGTTAATGAAGTTAATACCTAGAAGTTCAATCAACTCGAGTATGAAGTTGCAAAAACAGCTTCAAATGATGTTGTTTCTAGAGACTCTTATAGCATTCATAACTTAATGAATAGAAATGAAAAAAAGTGATTTGTTTATATTTTTCTTTGAAGTGATCTACTTTCGAAGTGGAGAGTTTATTTTCTTATATATGTTAGGGACAATAGACCTTCCACATTTTTCAATGGTATGATTTTATCTTATTTTATATAGAGGGTTGGATTTTACTTGTATGTCCATAATCCCCTTTTTATCCCACCAATGTGAATTTTAGTCACATTTTCAACCTTTTATTGGCTAAACAATTGATTTCTATGTTACAAGAATAGCTAATGAGTAACAAACATTACACAACTGCTGAAGGTAAGATGCCTATCTCCTCTGGAAGTTAAAGAATTTGATTCCACAGGCGAACACAAAGAAGAAGATCAAAGCCCAGACGACGTGTGCTGCGACAACGATCGGGATGAAGTCGTGATCGTACCCGAACCGTTCCTTAAGAAACATCTTTAATCCTACATTTCCTGATCCTGGTATCTCAATGTCAACATCTTTGTCCCCAATTTGAGAAGTGACAATGCCATATATTGTCCAAGCCATAGGAGAAGCCCAATAATACCATCTCCACCAGATGGGAATTAGCTGCAAAAAGTGTTTGGTTTAAGTTTAACTGAGAGTTCAAAATGCTACAAGTTCTAAATAAGGATATACCGAGAAAGATGATAATTCTAATGAGGCCACTATGAAATATTTACTCATGAGTGGAGCTGAATTCAGATTTCACATACCGGTCGAGGAATAAGAAAACCCGCGAACAAGTTCCAGAGGCTAATGAAGAATAATACAACGATGGCTGCAATATGATGGTCTGGAGTCAGTGCTACGACCATCATCCCATACAATGTGAAGTATATGAAGCACATTAGAAACAAGTAGTAGAACAGCAGAAACTTTCCCACTTTCCACTCAAATCCAATCATGCTATAAAGAAGGAGACAGTAAATTAAAGCTTGAACTGAAACATAGATTGTCTCAATTGTCGCCTGCAAGAAAAAAGGATTTAAGCTTTAGTTTGCTATTTTTTAATGTCTAATTAGAAAAGCTGGGAATGCGACCAAAGCCCTATATTGGCTAAATAAAGAAAAGATCGTGAGTACATAGATAAGGACAATTATCTCCATTGCTATGAAGTTTTTTGGATGAAACCAAAAGCAAAGCTGTGAGGGTTATACTCAAAGTAGACAATATCATATATTTGTGGAGATGGTTAGAGGTACGAGGATACCGTTGTCCTCAACAAGTGGTATTAGAGTCATGCACCATATTTAACCATGTCGATAAAATCCTCGGGTATCGAACAAAGAAATGGTGAACCTTGGAAGATGGTAGTCATGGTATAACTCATGGTTGAACTCTATCAGATAGGCGATGTGCTCCAGGGAAGAGGAGTTGACATGGATAAGAATTGGATGAATGAATCATTATTTGAGGGGAGGTTTGGTGGTACTTTGTTCGACGGGAAGATTGTTGGGAATGCGACCAAAGTCCCATATTGGTAAATAAGGGGAAGATCATAGATATATAGATGAGAACAATTATTTCCATCGGTATGAGGCTTTTTTGGTGAAACCAAAGCTACAAGAGTACCATTGTCCTCAATAGCTTGTATAAATCAAAGGCTTAAAGTTGTCATTAGAACTTTATAAACCTTTGGTTTAAGAGTACATTAAAATAATTAAATTCATCCTTGGCAATTAGTTTAAACTTTTGAGTTTGGTAACATTGGGGGTGATGATGGGAAAGAGATGAATCGGTTTTGTTACCTGAGCAAATGCATAAGGCAATGTAGAATACATCCCTGCAACTCTTTCTCGACAGAAAACTGCTGTTTCAACACCAACCACTGCTTGCACCGATGAAGCATTGAAAGTTCCAAGGAAGAGGACAGCAGCATATATGGCTCCCATAATATTCAACACATCTTGTTCCTTGGCTCTGTTTAAAAGAACAAAAGCAAAACATCAAAATGTAGTATGTAAAGAAACATAGGCACAAACAATTAAAATGGCCAGCAAAACTTACAATTTTTGTCCCTTGTTCCAGAAAATTAGACCAAAGAAGGTACCGATAACTATGGTAATGAAAAATCGTATGATGTTGTATTGAACGTGTTGCCAGGAAGAACGATGTTGTTTCCAAAAACAAGCTTTACACTGAAAAATCATTGATTGCGAGTATTCAGTTGGGAACTGTAGGTCCTTGGAGCCTTTACCTGGAGTACTAAGTTCCACTATAAGTTCTTGGTTTCTCCTGTGAAAGAAATTTTACAGAGTTGAGAAAAAAGGATAGAAATTCAAGTTAAGGCCTAAACTAAAACCAGAGCCAACATACTGATAAAGTGAAGATTTAGAAAAAATATCGGCAAAATTGATATCCAGTTGTGCTTCCAATGGAGGAGCAGTAACCTCAAGCATCCATGTAGCAGGATTTTGGCCATCTTCAATCTTTGGAATCCCTGGAATAGCCTATGATTTGCAATCATCGACAAATAGCCTTCAAATTGAACATTTGGGTAAATAGATAGAGAGCACATAACACAAAAAAATAATATACTCACTTCAAGATACTCGATAAGTTTACAAGATCGCTGACCAAGAGGTCCAGCATAAATCATTTGTCCACCACGTTCCATGAGGAGTAACTACATCAAGCAATATAGAAGTAAAAGCAGGACTTCTAAATTTAAATTTTTTCACAAGAAACAAACACTATCATGTAGAGCCTGTAATAATACCTCATCAAAAGCTTCAAAAATGTCTATGCTTGGCTGGTGAATTGTGCATACAACAGTTCTTCCAGTATCAACCATATTTCTCATGGTACGCATAACAATGGCAGCAGATCTAGCATCAAGACCAGAAGTTGGTTCATCCATGAAGATGATAGACGGATTAGCAACCAACTCCACTGCTATATTTAACCTCTTTCTTTGTTCTGTTGAAAGACCATCTACTCTAGGAAGCCCCACTATAGCATCTCTTATTGTATCGAGTTCTATTAATTCCATAACTTCTTCTACAAACATCTATAACAATGAAGAATAGTCATTCAATAAAAATTCAACCACATCTTTTGTATCAATTGGAAGCTTGAAGCTAAATAGAAGTTTCTAGTTTTGATGCTTCACAAAAAGACTTGGAAAATATACCTTTCTTGTTTTGATATCCACATTGGAGGGAAGGCGAAGCCAAGCAGAAAACAAAAGAGACTCGTAGACAGTGACATAAGGCGAATGAATGTCATTTTGTTCACAATAACCACTTACTCGAGCGAAAGTCGATTGCTTCTTTGGATAACCAGAGATGTATATACTTCCTTCAATATAACCACTTGTCTTTCTCCCGGCTAAAACATCCATAAGAGTAGTTTTCCCAGCACCACTAACACCAACAAGTGCTGTTAATATACCTGGTTTAAAAGCTCCACTAACATCTCGTAGAAGTTGAAGACGATCTTCCTCAACCCCATGCATCTTAATTTCCTAATTTGGAAGATATTGATGTTTGGGGATCAAGTAGTTTCGGAATATTTATAACAACATCATTGCAAAATTTTACAAACTTCAGTTAACTTACAGTAGGCATATTAACATAATAGTTGACGTGGTTGAATGTAAGTGAAAGGGGCTGGAAAGGCAAAACCATTCCTCTCTTTTGCATAGGGTCTGAATCAGCTACTATTTCTGAAGATTCGGTGACTCCACCATCGATGCCTATGATTGTTACAAAAAATATTAAACCTCTACCTAAACAAAATATTACTACAAGTGCACAAGAAATTTGATTTGCAAGTTCTTCCTTTGAAAGTTGAACCTGCTAATTTATGTTGTGCAATGGACCTATTGTTTTTTATTTTCTTCTCGTCTTCATCCATGATAATTACAGTCCTTGAATCAGTCAATGCTGAAAATAGATTCAAAGTATTAGTACAACAATAGTAATTATTCAAATTGGTAAATAAAATTGAACTCTCGAATATATCAAGGAGTGAGATTGTTTACAATTCAGGTAAGTTAGAGCTATTGTAAATAGAACGTTGAAGAGAAGATTAAAGCCGAAAAGTGCTGCAATGCAGATCCAGTACCAATATTCTTCCTTAAAGAAGCCCCTACTAGAAATGAGCACTTTTCCGATTGTAGGTTCATTAATTCTAGGGTCTGTAATTTTCTGCATTAGGCAAATATGTTTCGACTTAGTATGAAAGAAAAGAAGGTACGACTAAAATCAATATCTTTTTTCAATTCAAAATCCACAAACATTAATTCAACTAAGATTTTACCTTGCTCCATCTTTTGTCTAGAAATTCATTAATGACAATGGCATTCTGTCCATACGTCATGGGAGAACCATAAAAGCCCCAGATCATCCATGACTCAATGTTATCTATGCATATAAAAGGAAGATCAAAATTCCGAAACAAAACATTTTCATCAACTAAGTTAGTAGGTGTGAAGTTACAAATTAGCCACAATGAGAGAATAAAAATCACTTACCTTTGTCAATAATGAAACCTCCAAGCAAAAAAATTAACGATAGAGAAAAGGTACCCAAAGTAGTTGCAATAACTAGTGTTCTTCCAATTGCAGCTAGAAGTCGAAATAGGGATAGACCAGTTTGATGTGTGGCAAAGAGCGCCAAAAACTGCTTAAAGAATCTGGAGAATCAATAACCAATTGAGTAAGTAAAGTTTACTTTTATGACAAATAAAAATTAGGAAGACAAAATATATACCTACTGGGAGGAGGAGCAAACCCAATTGTGTAATAAGTAAGAATAACCCATATCCAAGATTCTGCTAGAGAGAGAGGAATTCTGAGGAGCCAAATGGGTAAACTGAATGCCCAAGTCGGATAGAACAAGAAATCCCTTTGCTTGAAGAAGACTGGAAGCCTGAATAGAGTGAGACCCATTTCTGCCATTCCATTAAACATGACATTCATGAGGCTGAAAAACAAAGCTCCAAAGAACTTGCTTCCATCAACCACATTGCCCACTTTCATTTCAGTCCTCAAAAATACAGTCATACCAATGATGGACATTATTGTAATCTGGACAGTCTTGAACACATAGACAAAAGCATTTCGCTTCATTAGCAACATCTCTCTTGAAAAACATGCCTTGAAGAGCTCCCAGTTAGACAAACCATATTTTTCTTTGACTAATGCAGCTGGGTGGGTTCTAGATTTATCATAAGGTACTGCAATATCAGAGGCAAGTTGTTGACCAATGGAAAAATAGTTGAATCCCTGTAAAAAATCAGGAACTGAAATTAATCTATACGGGTGGTTCTTTTTGTGCCAATATTGTTCTTGATCCTTTTTTGATGTCACTTCTTGTAAGAAACAGCAACTCCTTTCCTTTCTGGGCATTTGAAGCCCATAAATTCAAAGAATTCAAGGACTTTTTCTCTCGGACCTTGGTACACGATTTGGCCGTCTGAAAGTAGAATAATATCGTCAAAAAGATCATAAGTTTCAGGAGCTGGTTGTAGTAGACAAATGACCATTGTTAGGTCCATTATATGAACCATTTGCCTCATGAATTTGCAGATTTGAAACGTGGTGGAACTGTCCAATCCTGTTGATATCTCATCCATAAGCAATAGCTTTGCTGGGCCAACCAGCATCTCCCCTGCACATATTATGTCCCCTTTTTTGTTAAACTTTAAGCACAAAACTATGAGAAAAAAATAAAAAACCACATATTTTCAACCTGTAGTAACACGTCTTTTCTGGCCACCAGAGATTCCTCTTCTCATTTCATCACCAACCAAAGTATCACCACAAATTTCCAATCCAAGTATCTGTAAGAAATTTATTTTTCAATTCTCATGAAGTCGACTCAACAAATGGTCAAAGTATATCCATTCAAAGTCATAATTTTGGTCTTTGATCCTATATATTTTTTTAGTTCAACCCATGGGGATGAGAATTCAAACCTTTTGGTCGAGGATATATATCTTAACCAATCGAACTATGCTCAAGTTGGCAATCATTCATCATTTGTAACTTTTAGTCTCCATACTTTGACAATTTATTTCATTCTTATTTATTTTTTTAAAATTTTGGACCAATTGATTTAATCTTTGACCTTAATTATTCAGCTAACATAGCAATGAAAAGTTATTTTGACATGATATGAGAGCTATCATAATGTAAATATAAAACAAATCAACATGTCATGTTAACTTCTACGTGATATCATATCTACAAAAACCAAAATATAAAAAACGACCAAGGGGCTAGAATTGTAATAGAAAAACAAAGACTTGCTAAAACTTCTAACCTTCAGAATGTAATCTGTAACTAAACTTGTTTTTTGGCCAGAAATAGAGATGGCCTTCATGAAAGAATCAATCTCAAGGTCTGGCTTAATGTTTGCTTCTTTCTCTTTTCTGGTGAGCTCAGTCAAAAGTTGATATCCTGTACCAACTCCCAGACAACGACTAGAGAAGTCCAATGTCTCTCTCACTGTCATTTCCCCACAGAGAAGGTCATGTTGACTAATATAAACACAGGTTTTTTGAGGCACAAACTCGTGCATTTCATGTCCACAATATGTCACTTTCCCACTTTCCTATTGACATACATTACTCACATTGTCATTTTGTTGTAAGAATTTGGGAGGATTTGAACTTTTTCATTCTAAGTAAACAAGTTATGAAATAATCAAAGATCACCAATGCACTAAATTTAAATGACACACCCTCAAATTTTTATCAAGTTTCCCAGCAAGTGCCAACAGCAAGGTAGTTTTCCCAGAGCTTGGATGACCAAGAAGTAATGTCATCCTGAAAGAGATAACTTAATGACAAAATCCAGTGCAAACATTATAGATTAAAGGTTAAATTACATCTGTATTCCAAAAATTTCAATTTGGTGCTTATAATTTAACCATTTAAGAGTTACAATTTTATCTTACAATTTGAGCTTAGTTTAATTTTTGTCCCTATAGTTAGTAAGATTTTACAAATCACCCTTACCATTGTCATATTGACGCTTTTTTTATGTGGCAATGAGCTGAAGTTTTCTATTTGGCTAGTAGTGTTAGTTTAGGGCCGAGTAAAAAATATAAGAAAATAGGTAGATTTTTGGGCTGGATAAGACACAATTTAGACACTGACTTGTGAGATTCAATCAAATCATAGGGACTAAATTATAACTTCTAAATTATTGGACCAAATTGATACTAAACTCAAATCCTAGAGACTAAACTGAAATTTTTAAAACCATAAGAACCAAACAGAAACAATGTCCTAAATCTAATTGGAATTTCTCCGTCATGAAATTCACATTTATTTCATATTAAAAAAAAAAAAAAACTTCAACACCGTTCCAAAATTACTTCTTGCTTGCTTCTGCTTTCTTTCAATTAAAAAATACGTGGGATGGAGTTCGAACTTTCAACCTTTTGGTCGAAGAGATCTGTCTTAACCAATTTGAGCTATGCTTGGGCTTATGATACTTTTTGCTTGCTAAATGTCATTCAAAAGGGAAGGAAACTCTTTTAATCATTGCCATTAATTCTTTTAATTAATTTCTTTAACAAATATCTCAATCCGTTTGGAATCCAACACCTAACTACTAGGTGCATGTTGACATATATGCATTAGACAAATGAACAAAAAGTTATATCTCGTCAGATTTCTATTTAATAATTTCTATAAAATTAATTTCAACGATTAAAATAATTTTTAATAAAATTAATGAACTAAAGCAAAATGTTTAAGGCTAAAATATAATAAACATCAAAGTTAAAAAAACAAAATAGGATTTAAATGGACAATCAAACTTGAAATTTGGAAAACGTATATTTCATACATTGATCGAGCTTTCTTTCAGATCATTTGGAGAGAAAGAAACCAAATGATAAATTTCTTCCTTATGAGAGACATTTTGATGATGTAGTCTTCTTAGACTTGGTGTAAATGTTCTCCATTGTTTCGTCACTATAGCTACACTTCCCTATTAGCCAATTGGAAGTGTTTCATGTAATATCTTAAATAGGCTTTTGTAATTTCATACCATCAATGAAATTATTTCTTTCGCAAAAGAAAAAGAAAGGTATATCTATATATATATATATATAACTAAAGTAATGACTAGAGATTACATAATTAAACATCAACTTCGCCCTCCATCGTAATTATCAAATTTTGGTGTCGATAAAAATACAATCAAAGAATTAAAAGAAACCAGAGAAGTGAACTTTTCTTTTATTATATACTTTGAGGCACTTAATTAATATTATAAAATTAATTGGGAAGGATGGTTTAGAAAAACGGTTAAATTACAAATTCATTCCCTAAACGCTTAGGATTGTGTCAACTAGGTCTCTAAACTTTCAATTTTAGAAACAAAACTGAAAGTTTATATATCTATTAGATACAATTTTGAAAGTTTAAGGACCTACTAGATACAACAGTAAAAGTTCGATGACTAAAGTTGTAATTTAACTATTTCTTTTTTATGTATTTATTCTATTTATTCCATGCGACACATCATAGCCACATAATCTTTAAATAATACAGTCATCATGCCACATAAGCACTAAACTAATGGAGTTTGACAGAGTAATGGTAGGGACCTATTTAATACAAAATTGAAAATTTAAGGAACTATTTAACACTTTAAAGTTCAGAGACCTATTTGACACAGCCCTAAAAATTCAAGGAATTTATAATTTAACCTAGGAAAAATACATAACAAAATATAATATTTGTACCTTGAAGGTTTGATAATTCCATTAACATCTTTAAGTATCTGTATCTTTTTCTTCTTGGATGGAGTCAACCCAATCAACCCAAGCAAACTCTGTATTTCATTCAGAGGAAAAATAAAAGGAAAGGGAATTACATGTATGAAAATTTGGTAGTGTATGTTGGTAGATAATAAGTAAATAATCCTGTTTCTTTCTTTTGAGTTTAACAAATTGTGGGGCAAAGGATGGAACTACCAACTTTAAGAATGGTATTCACTCAATTCATATTGAGTTCAAAAAAGTAATTAACCATTTAAAATAACCTCACCAGATTTTTTTTAGTACAGCAAATTGGAGTCATGTGAATTTGAACTTCTGACCTTAAGGAAAGGAGTAAGTGCCAATAGGGATGGTCATGAGGCCGGGCGAGGATTGGGTTCTCTGCGAAATTTCGCCCCTTTGTAATTCCCCATCCATGCAAAATTTCGAAATTTCGCAAGGATTGGATTAGAATAATACATGATTTTTCTTAATAATATATATAAATAGGATAATATAATTATTTGTATGTGTGTATAGATATAAATATTAAAAAAATGACGCAGGGGGAACATGCAACGTATTCCCCATCCCTGTCCCTATTTAGATGGTGGGAAAATTGTTTTCCCGATGGAGAATTTAAATGAGGATTTCTCGCCCCATTTAGGCGGGCCCCCGTGGAGACAGGGCACCATGGGAAAAATGAACATTCCTAGATACCAATTACCGCTGAGCTTGGCTCAACTTTATGAACGTCACCCGATTAGAAAATTCATTTAATTAATTTGAAGAATTCTATGGCCTTCTATTGAGTTTATGAGTAAATAATATTTAATTTTTACTAATAAAAGAATATTCATTTAACTTATTATTAAATAATTAATATTGAATATGAATATTGATACTAATATATAAGAAAAAAAACTATTTATATTATTACTAAGTAAATTATAAAACAAAAGTACTGAATAATAATTAATTTTCTAAAAACGTATTAAATTAGTGGCATAGATAAATAGCTAAAGTTTATAAGCATTAACAATAAACTAAACTTTGTCCAAAGAAAAAAAACAAATTAACTAAATGAAGTAACTAAAACTAAGTAATATTTGATATAAAGGAATTGGTTAAAATTAGTTCTAAATGGCCAATTAATTTAAATTAATACTTAAAATAAATCGATAGAGTTATTTGGTATACCACGAGCAGCTTAGCAGTTAAAGATATTTATTCATTCATTTAAGGTCAAAAGTTCAAATTCATACTAACATACTGAGTATTACTTTTATAAATAATAATTGTTATGTAAAATTAGAAGATAATAGAAAATTTGATTAGATTATGATGAAATAAAGAATATCAATATTATTTAATTTTTTTATTATCCAGAAGTCTACGATCCTTTGATCTTTATGTCCCTATACCCTGGGAGATATATACATTGTTCCGATATCCGTACATAAGAGGTCATTGCTTAGATAAAGATGTATTATTATTTTTTTTATAGAGAATTAATATTACTTTCTTTTTAGTATTGAAAGGGAGAATTAATATTACTCAATTTCACGACGAATTAATTATAAAATCTAGCTTGGATAAAGACACCGATTATCATCCAAAAATTGATGGTTGAACCGGTAATTAATTAAAAAATATTATTTTAAGATAATTTATAAATTTGGTCTCTATAATAAATTATAGTTTCTATAATCTAAAAATTTTCAATTTATTCTCAATAATTTTATTCTCAACCTATTTTATTTTATTTTCTCTCTTTGATGAAGGTTTTGATTATTGTTTAATCCAAAAAGGGATTTGAAATGGGAAAAATACCTGAAAAGTATTGAGGGCGACGTTGAGCAAAGTGGGCTGCGCTCTGCTCCCGACATAAACCTCTCCTTCAACTGACAAATTCTCGAAACGAACTTCAATTTTCGGAATTTCAATCCCCACTCTGCACCACCAAAATCTTCGCTCATAAAATTTCAAATCCCTAAATTGGCTTTTTCGATTTAGGGCTTGGCCTACACTTACCGATCGGTTCTGTCTCTGAGCCGTCGCAGAAATTTCTCGTGATCTTCTTCAGCAACCTTCAACAATCTTTCCATCAACTCTTTCCTCTCCTGAAATCCGAGCTTCGTCACGTCCACTTCCTTGTGAACTACTCCGCCATTCTCCACAGCTTGTAGGAGCATTCCCTTCCGCAGCCGATCGTACGTCGGAAGCCGCTCGATGGCCGCCCACCGGAGCTCTTCCTCCTCCTCCAGCCTTCCGCTCCGCCGGCTACTCGTCATTTGAGCAGAATCGTCCAGTTCCAATCCCGTAGCCATAAGTTCCGATTCCGGCTTCTTTTCAGAAAACCTGCAAACAAAAACCCTAAAGGATCGATTGAATCTCCTCGCCGAAAACAGAAAACGATTAAGAAAGAGAATATATCAGACGACTTGATCAATATCATGGAAGAAAACAGTTCTTAGAAAAGCAACATACAGTTTTACCGAGCATTTGGAATCGGCTCCGTCGAATCTTGCGGCGAAAGTAGAAATCCGGCGGTGTGAGGACGTTAAATGCAAGGCGACGCAGAGAGCTGTTGAGAAGCGAAAGAGACGAAGAATTCATATTAGCGGGAAAAAGAAGAAAATGGTGTGCACGACGCGACGCATTTCCGTTGGCAAATAAAATTTAATCGCACGTGCTCTATTTCTTAGAACTTAATTAATATGCACGCGCATTTATGTAACAAATAATAATAATATATTAGTGTAATGTAATTAAAGTAGCTATCAGAGATTAATGAGCACGTCATATAATTTAAAGTCAACTATGGTCTAGTACCATTTTGTAGGGGTCACGATCCGGAGAAGAAGGAGAGGGAAGAGCGGAGCAAATGAGATAAAAAATGAAAAAAAATTAATATACAACTCATTAGTGTCATATCGACATTCTATTAATTTTAAAAGTCGAGGATCAAATTGTGGAGACGCTGACGACATGAAGTCATGGAAAGAGAAAACCAATTGGCCGAACGACATTTTGAATGACATATACTATATTAAATTTAACTAAACTTTAGGGGCACGTATCCCCTGGTTCCAACATGAATTTGTCTCTGTTATCAAATGTAATTTTTATAATGTATAAAATTACAAATAAAAATTAGATTAGTTACTTTTTAAAAGTCATGTAATTATTCAAACCTAATATTATATTAAAAACTTTAAATTTATTTACATATTTATAAAACTAATCAATTCAACTCCGTTTGGTAGGTTATTTTTAGAGCTCGTGGTCGTTAAAGTATGCATTTTAAAAAAAATTCAATCAATGCAAGAATGAGAAATGGAATACGAATGGATTAATAATATTTACAGATTAACTACCTTACACAATTAGCAAAAGTTTTTACTAAATAAATTTAAAATTTAGCAAGATAAAAGTGATTTTAAAATTTATAAAAATATAAATTCAAGAAGAGTGTCTTAATTAATATTTTATTCTTTTTTTTTTCAAAAGTAATGTTTTAAATTATCCTAAAAAAAACTTTTAAAAATGATCCTAAGTAAAAAAATACCTGAAAATGCAATCACTACTTTTAAAATTATTTTGCCCGTAAAAAAAATACTTTTAAAATTATTTTTGATTAATTAAAAATAAATATTTTTCGTTATTCAAAAAGTAAATACTAAACTCACTCTAGATGTTTTCTTTCCCAGAGTAATTCAAAGAATTATAACAAATTGAAAGAGTTAAAAGACAATTTAAAAAAAATACATATTCAAATACCAATACAACAAAGTGTTTTATCTAAAAAACAAGCATATAGATAGAATAAGAAAGGAGGGAACCATTTTGTTCCCTCATTTATAGCTGTTTTTAAAATTCGTCGAACTACATCAGCTTAACCTTTTTAGTTCATTGATGATTTAACATAGTATTAGAGTAGGAGGATTTGTGTTGGAACGTCTATAACATCATGTCATGTCCTTCTCGAGTAATATTGATAACCACTCATTGAGTCTTGTGCAAATTTTCAAATCTGTAAGTGAGGGGAGTATTAAAATTCATCCTAACCTATTAGCTTTTAAGCTTTTGAATTTTTAACAGCAGTCATGCAATTGATTTCTATGGTACAAGACTATAGCTGATGACTAATAAACATTATACAACACTGCTCTAGATAATGTGCCTATCTCCTCTGGAAGTTAAGGAATTTGATTCCACAAGCAAACACTGAGCAGAAGGTCAGAACCCAAACGACATGGGCTGCGACCACGACCGGGATGAAGTCGTAATCGTACCCGAACCGTTCCTTAAGAAACATCTTTAATCCTACATTTCCAGATCCTGGAATCTCAATCTCAACATCTTTGTCCCCAACTTGGGAAGCCACAAGGCCATATATTGTCCAAGCCATAGGAGAAGCCCAGTAATACCATCTCCACCAAATGGGAATTAGCTGCAAAAATAATGTTGGTTTAAGTTTGACTATGATTTTGAAATGATTTTGAGTTCTAAATATCAAGTTTAGATGTCGTGTACCGGTCGAGGAATAAGAAAACCCGCAAACAAGTTCCAAAGGCCAAGGAAAAAGTATATGACAATGGCTGCAATATGGTGGTCTGGAGTCAATGCTACAACCATCATCCCATACAGTGTGAAATATATGAAGCACATTAGAACCAAGTAGTAGAACACTATAAATTTTCCCACTTTCCACTCAAATCCAATCATGCTATAAAAAACGAGACAGTAAATAAGAGCTTGAATTGAAATATAGACTGTTTCAATTGCCACCTGCAGGACAAAGAGGTTTAATCTTTAGTTAACTTTTCCTATATTTCACTACAAAACTAAAGGCATAAAAAGAGAACTTTCATTAGAGTTATACAAATGTTTGATTAAGAATTTGTTAAAACAAATTAATCTTAAGCTATCAGTTTAAGCTTATGGGTCAATAACACTTAACATGGATCAAAGTAGTAGTTTATTATTTCCTTCCGCTCCATATGATAAACCACATATTATCGTTAAGGTATCTATAAAAATTAAATTTACCATAACCCAACAGCTCAAGCTTTTGAGTTGATTGGTGATTTAACATAGTATCAGAACAGAAGGTCATGTATTCAAATTCCTGTAATGTCATTTCAAATTTACCATAACCCATCAACTTAAGCTCTTGGGTTGATTGGTCATTTAATCATAAAGTCTCGTGTCAATATACGAGCAAGTGAGAGTTTAATAATATAATTTGAAAGAGGTGTGTTGTTCTTGTTACCTGAGCAAATGCATAAGGCAATGCAGAGTACATCCCTGCAGCTCTTTCACGATAGAAAACTGTTCTCTCAATACCAACTACAGCCTGCACAGCTGAAGCATTGGTAGATCCAAGGAGAAGAACTGCAGTGTATATAGCTCCCAAAATATTCAACACATCTTGTTCCTTGGCTCTGTTGAACACAAAACATCAAAACTACAATAGGCGAAAATAGAAATAATTACAGAGGTTTGCAAAGCCTTACAATTTTTGTCCCTTGTTCCAGAAGATTAGACCAAATAAGGTACCGATAATTATCGTAATGAAGAACCGTATGGTGTTGTATTGAGCGTGCTGCCAATAAGATCGATGTTGTTTCCAAAAACAAGCTTTGCACTGAAACAAAAATGACTGTGAGTATTTGGTTGGGAAGTGTAGATCCTTAGAGCCTTGAGCTGGAGTACTAAGTTCCACTATAAGTTCTTGGTTCCTCCTGAAAAGAAGAATTGCAAAGTTAAGAAAAATGATTGTTAACAAGTCACTGCTCAAACTTAAAGCAGAGTCATGCGTACTGATAAAGTGGAGATTCAGCGAAAATATCAGCAAAATCGACATCCAGTTGAGCCTCCATTGAAGTGGCAGTAGCCTCAAGCATCCACGTAGCAGGATTTTGGCCATCTTCAATCTTTGGAATTCCTGGAATAGCCTGTGATTTACAATCCTCAATAGAAAGCCACCAAATTGAACATTTGAATAGAAAATAGAACAAATATACTCACTTCAAGATATTCAATGAGTTTGCAAGATCGCTGACCAAGAGGTCCAGCATAAATCATTTCTCCACCACGTTTCATGAGCAGTAACTACATTAAGACGTACAAAAATAAAAACGATGAGAGAAAACAACAAACACAATCATGTAGAGACTCTGTAATTATACCTCATCAAAAGCTTCAAAAATGTCTATGCTTGGCTGGTGAATTGTGCATACAACAGTTCTCCCTGTATCAACCGTATTTCTCACGGTACGCATAACAATGGCAGCGGATCTAGCATCAAGGCTAGAAGTTGGTTCGTCCATGAAGATGATAGAAGGATTAGCAACCAACTCCACTGCTATTGTCAACCTCTTCCTTTGTTCTGTTGAAAGACCATCTAGTTCTGGAAGCCCCACTATAGCATCTCTAATTGTATCAAGTTCTATTAATTCCATAACTTCTTCTACAAACATCTGTATCAATGAAGAATAGTCATTCAATAAAAGTTCAACCACATTTTTTATGGTTAGAAAAAGAGAAAAAAAAAACTTGAAAAATATACCTTTCTTTTTCTGATATCCACATTGGAGGAAAGGCGAAGCCAAGCAGAAAACAAGAGAGACTCGTAGACAGTGACATAAGGCGAATGAATGTCATTTTGTTCACAATAACCACTTACTCGAGCAAAGGTCGATTGCTTCTTTGGATAACCAGAGATGTATATACTTCCTTCAATATAACCACTAGTCTTTCTCCCAGCTAAAACATCCATGAGAGTAGTTTTTCCAGCACCACTAACACCAACAAGTGCTGTTAATATACCTGGTTGAAAAACTCCACTAACATCTCGTAGAATTTGAAGACGGCCTTCCTCAATCCCATGCATCTTCATTTCCTAATTTGGAAGATGTCGAGGTTTAGCGATCAAGTGGTTTCATCAGTTTTATAATATCTTTACAAAAACTTAGAAACTTCTTAACTCACAATAGGCATATCAACATAATAGTTGACTTGGTTGAATGCAAGTGAAAGGGGCTGGAAAGGCAAAACCATTCCTCTCGTTTGAATATGATACGAAGATTCGATGACTTCGCAATCAATGCCTACAATTTTTTTTTTTTTAATACTATCATACCTCGTTACTAAAAAAGATAGCAAACCTCTAACTAAAGAAAATATACTATCAGTCCACAAGAAACTTGATCATGCAAGTTCTTCCTTCAAAACTCGAACCTGCTAATTTATGTTGTGTAGTGGAACTTTCGTTTTTCCTTTGCTTCTTGTCTTCATCCATGCTAATTACTGTCTTTGAATAAGTCAACGCTGAAAACAGCTTTAAAAGAATCAGTGCAATAATAAAGTAATAATTCAAAATTGATAAAACAGATTAAAACTCTGGAATATATTAAGGGTTGAGATTGTTTACGATCCAAGTAAGTCAGAGCTATTGTAAATAGAATGTTGAAGAGAAGATTAAAGGCAAAGAGTGCTGCAATGCAAATCCAATACCAACGTTCTTCCTTAAAGAAGCCCTTGCTAGCAAGCAACACTTTCCCAACTGTCGGTTCATTAATTTTATCGTCAGTATTTTTCTGCATCAGTCAAGTATGTTTTAAGTTATTATGACAGAAAAAGAACAGATGACTAAAATCAATTTATTTTCCAATTGAAGATCCATAAACGTTCTTTCAACTTAGATTTACCTTGCTCCATCTTTTGTCTAGGAACTCATTAATGACAATGGCATTTTGTCCATACATCATGGGAGAAACATAAAAGCCCCAAATCATCCATGGCTCAATATTACCTGTGTATTAAAGGAAAATCAAAATTGGGTGAACAATAAATTTTCATCTACTAAATTAGTATGCTGTAGAGTTACAATTTACTTACCTTTGTCAATAATGAAACCTCCGAGCAAGAAAATTAATGATAGAGAAAAGGTACCCAAAGTAGTTGCAATAACTAGTGTTCTCCCAATTGCAGCCAAAAGTCGAAACAATGATAGTCCCGCTTGATGTGTGGCAAAGAACGCCAAAAGTTGTTTAAAAAACCTAGAGAATTGATCAACAATTGAGCAAGTAGAGTTTATTTTATTTTATTTTTTTACAAATGAAAAAAAGGAAGGAAAAAGAAAATATATACCTACTAGGAGCAGGAGCAAATCCAATTGTGTAATAAGTAAGAAGAACCCATATCCCTGATTCTATGAGAGAGAGAGGAATTCTAAGGAGCCAAATAGGCAAACTGAATGCCCAAGCTGGATAGAACAAGAAATCCCTTTGCTTAAAGAACACTGGAAGCCTGAAAAGAGTGAGAGCCAATTCGGCCAATCCATTAAACATGGCATTCATGAGGCTGAAAAATAGAGCTCCAAAGAACTTGCTTCCATCCCTCGTGGTGCCCACTTTCATCTCACTCCTCAGAAACACAGTCATACCAACGATGGATATGATTGTAATTTGGACAGCCTTAAACACGTAGAGAAAAGCATTTCGCTTCATTAGCAGTAGCTCTCTTGAAAAGCAGGCCTTGAAGAGCTCCCAATTGGATAAACTATATTTCGCCATGACTAATGCAGCTGGGTGGGTTTTAGATTTGTCATAAGGTACTGCAAGATTGGAGGCAAGTTGTTGACCAATGGAAAAAGATTTGAATCCCTGCAAAAATTCAGGAGCTGAAATGAATCTATATGGGTGGTTCTTTTTGTACCAATATTGTTCTTGGTCCTTTTTTGATGTCACTTCTTGTAAGAAATCAGCAACTCCTTTCCTTTCTGGACATTTGAAGCCCATAAATTCAAAGAATTCAAGGACATTTTCTCTTGGACCTTGGTACACAATTTGTGCTTCTGAAAGTAGAATTATATCGTCAAATAGATTATAAGTTTCTGGGGCTGGTTGTAGCAGAGAAATGACCATTGTTACGTCCATTATATGAACCATCTGTCTCATGAACTTACATATATGAAACGTGGTGGAACTGTCCAATCCTGTTGATAATTCATCCATAAACAAAGCCTTTGCTGGCCCTACTAGCATCTCCCCTGCACACATTTTGCCCATATTTTGGTTAAACTTCACAAACTATCAAGAGAATTCTAAAAATTGCATATTTCCAACCTGCAGTAACACGTTTCTTCTGGCCACCAGAGATTCCCCTTCTCATGTCATCACCAGCCAAAATATCAGCGCAAACTTCCAACCCAAGTATCTGATGGATAGTTATTTTTCGATTTCAATGAAGTCAGCTCAATAAATGGTTAAAATATACACTTTGAAAGTCATAATTACAGTCTTAATCCTATGTCATTTGTAAATTTTTAGCCTCCATTCTCTCTCTCTCTCTCTTTTTCATCATTTTCATTCTTATTATTTTCACTTTTTGGATATAATTACATGCCATGAGAGAGAGAGAACATAACTTTACAACATATCAAGATGTCATCTTATGTTAACTTCTACGTGATATCCTGTCGGCTATAACCAAAGTATGAAAGATAACAAAGTCAAAGGACAGGAATTGTATTGCCAAAACTGCTAACCTTGAGAATATAATCTGTAATCAAACTTTCTTTTTGGCCAGTAACAGAGATGGCTTTCATGAATGCATCAATCTCAAGTTCTGGTTTAATGCCTGCTTCTTTCTCTCTTCTTGTGAGCTCAGTCAAAAGTTGATATCTTGTGCCAATTCCCAAACAACGACTAGAGAAATCCAATGTCTCTCTCACTGTCATTTCCCCACAATGAATGTCATGTTGGCTGATATAAGCACAAGTTTTTTGAGGCACAAACTCATGCATTTCATGTCCGCAATATGTCACTTTCCCACTTTCCTATTCACATTTTTCATATTGTTGTTTTGTTGTAAGAATTTGGGATGATATGACCTTTTTGATTCTATCACAAACAAGCTATGAAAAAAAAATAATAATTGAATGTTTAAATACTATTTTGGTCCTGTAATTTCAAGTTGAGTTCATTTTTGTCTCTGTACTCTCAAAACCTTCATTTTAGTCTTTATACTTTCAAATTTTGTTCTTTTTAGCATTTTCACTTTCAAAATTCATGTTTTGGTTCCCGAACTTTTAGAAAGTGACAATTTTTGTTCTTGTTTGAAAACATTTAACACAATGGAAAATCCTTTTATACAAAGACTACATTTTAAGAAATTTATTGAATGTAGTATCATGTTGAAATTGTGATAGAAAAATAAGGTAAAAAATAAAACGAAGAACCTACGAGTCACTATTTAAAAGTACATGAACTAAAATAGATATTTCAAAAGTAAAGTAACTAAGATAAACAAAAGTTGAAAGTATAATGACCAAAATAGTATTTAAACTAAAAAAGAATTACCACCAATGCATTAAATTTAAATGACGCACTCTCAAACTTTTATCAAGTCTCCCAGCAAGTGCCAACAGCAAGGTAGTTTTCCCAGAGCTTGGAGGACCTAAAAGTAGTGTCATCCTGAAAAAGATAAATAAATGTAAAAAATCAGTGCACAAACATCATATGTAATTACAAGAGTGGACCTACCTACTGTGCTATTGTAAAAAATTATGTTTAATGGAAATTGACCCAAATAACATATTTAAACAAAAAGTTAAGAGGCCAAATAGAATTTAAATTTATAATACCAAAAAAAAGAAAAGAAAAACTTAAAATTTGGAAAATATAGATTTTATACATGATGTTATTTGTAAAACTAAAGTAAGTGATTTCATAATAAAAGCATCAACTTGGCTCTCCATTGTAGTTGGAAAAAATTAGAATCCGTAAAGCTACAATTAAGGAAATAAAAGAAAATGGAAAAAAGTCAACTTTTTTTTTTGTTTAAATACTTTGTGAACTTATTTGATAATTACAAAGTCAATGGAGGAGGAGGATTTTAGAAAAATAAATATAAAAATATAAAAAGATCTGTACCTTGAAGGTTTGATAATTCCATTTAGCTCTTTAAGTATCTGGATCTTTCTCTTCTTGGATGGAGCCAACCCAATCAATCCAAGCAAGCTCTGTTTTTCATAACATTCAAATCAAAAATAGAAATATCAATACATACTAATTTAAGTTAGTACTAAACAATTCTTTTTTTTTTTTTTACTGCAGTACTAAACAATTCTTACTTTAATTTTTTAAGGAGTTTCATTTAACTAATATTACATATGAATATTGATAATAGCAAATAGATTACTATATATATATATATATTTTTCTTTTTTAAGACAATAGATTACTATATATATATATATATATAGTAGTAATGATTCTTTTTGCTTATTACAAAATAAATCATTAAAACTAAATTGATATAATAATTAACTAAAAATCATCTAATTAAAACTAAGGAATATAAATATTTATAAATCAATTAAAGATAGCACTAAATGGCTAATTAATTTAAATAAACACAAAATATAAATCAATAAAAATTGTTCATTATTGTTGTATTTGTGTTGTTATTACTGCAAAGAAGAATTTAAATTTAAATTTTAAGATAATAGAAAATTTGATTGAATTCCTTTAGGAAATGGTTGGTGTTAGTTTTTTATTTTTTATTTTTTGAATTCAATAATTATGGGGTAGAAGGCGTAAGTGTCTAACCATCAACTTCTAGAATGTTAATAGATAACTTATCTATTAAATTAAATTCAAACGGGTAAATTAATTCAAAAATCATTATTATTATTATTATGTCAAAATACTACTATAAATTTAATAACAATGGCAATTAACAAAGAGATACTCACGAACTCGTGGTATTAATTGTATTATTTAATAATGTCCATTTTTTAGTACGATGGTTAATGAGGTTGATGAGAAAGCATAATCAAGTGGAAAAGACCCCCAACTAACATAGGGCCACTTACCTTACTAGATAGGGGGGGACACGGCTGTCAAACATTAGAGCAAGAGCCGTATCATATTCATAATTATACCTTATAATTAAAATACTCAAATTTTTTAGAAGTGTTGATAGCAATATTATCCCAGCTAAAAAATATCAAATGGTCTGGATTTTTAGTTAATTTTCAATTTTACCCTTCAATGCATTAAAACTTCTTAATTAAGTTTAAAAGAAATGGATTTTGTTGATTAAAATTTCAAACTTTTGATTCAATCTCCAAATCTTTACATAAATAAACTATTTTAATGTCGTGTATTATGTATTTTTAAAATGATCGTTTCCCAATCTAGATTGGCAAACAATAATTTTAATATAAAATTTAGAAATTAAGAATTTAAAATACAGGAAATAAATCAATTTTAATTTTTAACTTGACAACTTGTATCAATTTTTACATCAAACTTTTAATTTCACCCAATCGCTCTGTCTGCAATTTGAACCAGTCGATAAATTTTCATTTCGAACAATTATTGAAAAAACTATTATCATGCATATTAGATGAACTATAAAACATAGATTTGACATGAAATAGATAGGATTCAAACAAAACAGATCAGTACCAAAGCGAGCATAGTTCAACGCTAATCGACATATATCTCAAACCAAGAAGTTATGAGTTATATCGGTTAGAATCCATATAAATGAATTAAATTTACCCAACTCATCAGCTTAAACTATCATGTACGCACACCAGTTTTTATTCCACAAAGTTATTTAATAGTTTGTTTTTGACATTAATCAAACTTTATTTTTTTTGTTCAGCATGATTTTCATTACATTAGTAAACTTTTACAGTATTATTATTATTATTTTATTAAAATTAGAGGGTGAATTAACGAAAACTTTAAAATTGATACCATGAAAATTGAAAATTTGACACAAGTTAAAAAATGAATTTTCCTCCAAAATAAAACATTTGAATGAGATTTTTTTTTTCTTCTTTTGTTTTCTAAATCCAAAGGGATTTGAAATGGAAAAATACCTCAAAAGTATGGAGAGTGACGTTGAGCAAACTGGGCTGCGCTCTGCTCCCAACATAAACGTCTCCTTCAACTGACAAATTCTCGAAACGAACTTCAATTTTCGGAATTTCAATCCCCACTCTGCACCACCAAAATCTTCGCTCATCAATTTTCAAATCCCTAAATTGGCGTTTTCGATTTAGGGCTTCGCATAGGCTTACCGATCGGTTCTGTCTCTGAGCCGTCGCAGAAATTTCTCATGATCTTCTTCAGCAACTTTCAACAACCTTTCCATCAACTCTTTCCTCTCCTCAAATCCGATCTTCCTCACGTCCACTTCCTTCTGAAAAAATCCGCCATTGTCCGCAACTTGCCGGAGCAATCCCTTTCGCAGCCGATCGTACGTCGGAAGCCGCTCCATGGCCGCCCACCGGAGCTCTTCCTCCTCCTCCTCCAGCCTTCCGCTCCGCCTGCTACTGCTACTCGTGACTCGAGCGAAATCGTCCACCACCGATCCCGTAGCCATCTTATCAAAAAACCTGCAAATTAGACCTACCGAAAACTCTACGGACCAGTTCGATCTTCTCGCCGAAAATCAGAAACTGGTTACTTCCGATTCAATCTCCAATAAAAGAAAAGAATCAGACTCGTCGCCGTTGTCGGAGGCTCGAATTATTGATCATCGGAGAAGAACAAGTTTATTAAAGCATCAGACTATCCAAATACCAAAGTAATTAACAGTTGCTAGCATTTGGCAATCATCTCCCTGCAAATCATCCGGCGGCCGGAAATATCAGCCGGCGACGCAGATTCTCACCAGTTATGCTTCAGGCAGCCGCTGGCAAAAGTAAAACTCCGGCGCTTGGTAGAGACGTGAATGCTCCGTGGAGAAGCGGGAGAGACAACGTATTTATGTTTGGCAAAACAAATCGGTGCAGTTGAAGAAATTATTTGGAGATATCAACACAAGTAGCCTTTTTTTCAGTCTACTTTGCTAATTTGTTATTTTATTGCTTTAAAACCTCTACATTTAAAATGTTTATTTAAATGTTGTACTTCTAAAATTTGTATATTTCCAAAATGTTCGTTTTTGTCATTGTCTTTTTAAACACTTGATCGTTGTGCACATAACGGAAGTCCTTTAATATAAAGTCATTGTTATATTTCAAAAAAATATATTGAGTACTATAGTGTCGTATTAAAATTGTGATTGAAAAACGAGATTAAAAATAAAATTAAGGAAAGAAAATAGTCACTTTTTAAAATTATAAAGACAAAAACGAACATTTCGTAGGTTCGGCTTAAAAAAATACGTGTGTAAGAAGAAAATCGATGTCTCCTTCTTACCACCTTTAAAAAATAGATATAAATTTGTTTTTTTTTTAAATAAACGAATGTCAAGTTTTCAATGATGATAAATAAGAAGATAACTACTTATCCATAAATATCTAAATATTATTATTTGAAAAAAAAATGTTTCTTAAATAAAGTCACTTTTTATTAACATTTTAGAAGAATTACTAAATTTAGGATGTGTTTTTTCCCTATAATTTAGAGTGTATTTAGTAAAGTTGAACGAGTGGTATTAGATAACTATGTTTTTTTTAATCCACGATATTTAGTAGTAAATAAAATAAATAAATATATATTTTTTTTCAAAAACTTACTCTAAATCTTATTGTTCAAGAAAATATTATTAAAATTCTCGTAACTAAGCACTTGAAATATTCTCATAATTTTTTTAAAAAGTATTTAAATTAATAAGATATATCACTTTTATCCTATAAGAACAAATAAATGCGTCAACCAAAAAACAAATAAATGCGTCAACCAAAAACTAATAGTGTTATGAGGGAAGTATTTTGCAAACTTTGACATATCTAAAATGATCACGTAATTCTATTTTTGCCAACTTGAACTTAATTTAATAATTAGGTTATCAGCATTTTCTCTTTAAATTAAAAGGTTTGAATCTCGTCTTTTAACAAAAAGTTTGAATCTCACAACTATCATTATTCGGAGAAATTACACTATATAACATAAATTTAATATATACTTCTTAAAAAGTTGCGACTTTTCTTTTCTTTTTTTCAAATATAGCATTAATTTCATGGGTACATGAGCTTTTTTTTTTATTTAAACATGAGCATCTCTTTCTTAATTGCTATTGTTATTAATATATATATATAATTTATTTTAAAACACTATATTTGAAAATACATCTTTATTTTCTGTTATTACAAATATAGTATTTTACAAAATTAGTATAGTATGAATACATTTTAAACTAATTTTTTTAGTACTCATCGAATCAATCTACTCCCTTTGTATCACTTCGTGCCAAATCATGACTCGTTAATCATCATCGACAATCTATTCAGGATTCTAACCTCAACGGTTAGCAACTAAACTTGAAGGTTGTGCTCGTTGCAGGATTTAACCGAACACCTCAAAGTACGAGTTGACGATAGTCATACACCACTTGTATCTAAGTTCGAACATTCAAATAACAATACCAAGTAGAATATATTTGTAATTTAACTTAATAAATAAACAAGTATGAATAAATTTAAATGATCTAATTGAATTCTAGCACATGCAGTTTTCTTCTATAAGTCCATACCAGAGAATTGCTGCATTTAAACATATTGAATATATCATTTTCAAAATAATAAAATAAAATAAACATATTAAATATATGGGCTTTCGAAAAATAAGCCCATGCAGAGTGCTGCTATATTTAAATATAGAATAGTAATCATATGGGCTTTTTGTCACATTAAATTCTCTCTACTCATATTTATTTTATGGGTCCCTTTTACAATATTAAAATTCGAACTAATTGAATTCAAGATCTTTGAAAAAGTTTATTGAGAATTTAATATTTAAACCGATTGAATTATCCTCATCTTTTGGGATTTATTAAAATATTAGTAGCTAGCTTTATTTGAATGGTCCACAATTTTGTAAGCTTCAGGTTAAATATATATCTTAGTCCCAAATATTTTTAAATGAAATTTCCATTTTAATTCATATTGTATAGAAATTTTTAATTTAGTCTCTTATATTTTTACAATTTCTGATTATTATCCTTTCATCGATATTTAATGAGTTGACAAAACTTTTGAAGAAGAACCGGGTCATCAAAAAGAAGAAAAAGTTGAAATTTATGTCAATTTATACATTTTTGGGAAGGAATTAGAAATTTTTATATCTACAACTATGAGGTTGTGAGTTCGAAACTCTTCCCCAACATATTTGTACTAAAAAAAATAGAAATACTTTTTTCTACCAAGTAGTCTAGTTAGTCATCTAAATTTATGTCAATTTACTAAATATTATAACATGTAAGTTTATCATTAACCAATTTTTATATTCATAAATAGAAAATGGTATAACTAAAAAATGTTTGAATATAAGGGACTATAATGAAACTCTTTAAATAGCAGAGACTAAATTGAAAAACCACAGATACCGGGAATTAAAACATATATTTAACCTAATTTTACTAAGGATCTTTTTTTTTATATATATAATTTTTGTTTGGTTGTCTTTTTGAATATTGAAATAGGACGAAAAAAATTATAGCAAGGGCCTCCCCATAACCGATGATAAAATTGATGCAATCAATGACAAAAGAGTTTTTTTCTTTTTATTTATTTATTTATTTTCACCTTGATTTATTATTTTAAATAAGACCAAAAAATGTGTTGCTCCATCGGTTCGTTAATTATAAATTCAATTTTTAGCCTTTGGTATTCATTGATGGAGATTCAGCAGCTTTAGCTGGATTTTTGTAGCTGAAAATCAAAGAAATGTTTTTTTAGTCGAGAGGATAAAACGAAGTCAATTCTATGACTATCTTTCGTTCTAAAGAAATTGGAGTTTTCGAAAATTGAATAATCTGTATATCTCATTTTACTTATTTATGTAGTTCTTAGAGAATTTCAATTACATCTTTAAACTTTAAAGTGGTGTGATTCCATGTAGTTCTCTTTCTATTAGCACGGTTAATAAAATGTCGACTCGAGTATAGCCGGTTAAGGCATAAAGTAACCTTCTGCAACGTGAACTAAAAAAATGATAATGTTACATGTTTATTAGATAAATGTTGGTTGATTTGGTAAATTTTGATAGTAAGTATATATAATAATAATAATAATAATAATAATAATAATAATAATAATAAATTTAATATGTGAGGAACCATTTATTAAATGTGTTCATAACTTCAGAATGGACTAGTGATGAGTGACAAAGAGAAGTCATGGGTTGGTTAGTTGATTGCTTTCATTGCATCACATCTCTCATCTCTAATAAATTTTTCTCAAATAATTAAATTTTGTAAACCTTCCATTATTAATGTGTTCAAACCCAACTCAATTATTTTATCAAAAAAAAAAAAAAAAGAAGGAGAAGAAACCCCAACTCAATCATCCCAAAGGCCAAAATTATTATAAAATATCTATTAATTATCAACTTCTTG